GCTTCCCAGATTTCGATTTTACTACTCAAATTCCGGCAAAGTGCCCAAATTTTGTTAAAAATCGCACGAGCAGTTTTTAAAAAATTGGCTCTAAAAGTTTTATGTCCTCAGTGTTAATTTAATTTGGTATATATTTATTAATATGTCTTTTTTTACTAAACTTATTTGATCCTTCCTTTCACATTTTCGAAATTGAAGTTCATTCCAAATAAAACTTGCGCATTGTTTGTGATTTCTTTTTAAAATTTCTGATTTTAAATCGTTTTTATATATTTTTCGAAAAAACTTTTGAATTACAACCTGTAAAATTTTACCATCATCTTAAAGTAGATGTATTTTTAAGCACAACCGCCGTGTTTTGAAATGTGGCATATTTGTTATAAGCAAAAAATGTAGTTTACGCACTTTGTTAAAATTACTTAAAAGAATGAACGATGACTTTTTTTCGGCTCGTGTACAATGAAAAAAGGGGAAGGAAAATAGGTTGCTATAAATTAAGTAGTTGGCCAAGTGAATTAATTTTGGCCCAAGCTGAAAAAAAAAATGTTTCAAGATAAATTTCAGGATTTCTCCGTAAATTTCGCACCAGATTTTACAAAATTTAATAATTAGGCATAGTTTGAGTCGTAAAATCAAAATATAGTAAACATTTGGCATGTCATTTCGGAAAAAGTCCGATTTTGTGTCAAAATACCTATATTAGAACAGTGCTATATATAAATCTAATATATATCCTAAGTCGCGCTTTTGAGATATGAAAAACGGAATTTGAATTTCGTCAATCGGCCCAGTAGAACGAGAGATATAGAACTGTTTACCCTTTTTTTCCCGCGATGTATGTTGGTTTGTTATTTTATTTTATATTTTATTCGATTCGTTAGAGAACTGGAGGTTTAGTGGCGAAAAATAATTCGTATATGAACAATAAGAAAATACACGGGCGAACGATAAAAATAAGAAGATAAGATAACCGAATGTGCGAATATTTACACAATATTTATTGTTAATTTACGTAAAATTTGTTTTCCTAGGTAGCGAATTAAAAAAATATGAAAATATCATAACAGCGGTTTTGGGTTGTTACGTGCTTAACACAAAGTATCATCAGAGAAATTTTGCCGTCTAACGAAATCGAGAATGAGGAAGAAAAAGTAGGAAATGTAGGAAAATGTAACAATGTAGGAAAAAATACTGTTTTCAAAAATAATAATCATTGAAAAATCAATAAAATGAGGGGGGCTGACTTGTGGATTATTCTGAAATCACATGACCCATGATCAAAAATTTATTAAAAAATTATGTATAAAATTAGCAATCGGTAGATGAAAATTTAAAAAGTGTTTCTTCATATTTATGGATGTAAGCTTTCATTTCATTTTAATTATTTTATAAATATAGCTACTCTTTTAATACCTTCATGTATTATGCATTGCTCATTCGGTGTCTGAGTATTTAAAGTAATGCTTTAAAGCCACAAGACAATTCTCGGAAGACAAAGTTCATTCCCAAGGCAAAATTATTCCTAACAATGGCAATTGAAATTATTCTTTGGCGTTGGTTGTAGAGACATTAGGTTATTTTAAAGCAGGTTATTTAAGCAGGACATTAGATCACTTTTCCTCTTCTCCCGGCAGATGAAAAATGAGCAATACCCTCGCCGGAACTCGAACCTCGGACTTCTCGATACGCGTCGAGTGTGCTGGCCAATGCACCACGAAGTTATGCTAAGAAGGCGGGAGAAATGACCTACATGTTCTACGAAATGGAGCCTATGAACCTTGGGATGGTAGCCTCGAAAAAAGAGCAATTCCAAAGTAATATTTCTTTAATTGGTAAGAGTACTTTACACACTGTCAGGCAGTGCGTTTGGAGTAGTTCTTTCACTTAACTAAGGAAGTTGGCATAAGACTAAATTACTTACGTTATTTGTTATTCACTGAACATAAAGCATGATCATCAATCATTTCTTAAATATTGTATGACCCGACGAATATCATTTTCTTAATTTTTGTTAGTTGCCTAGGTGTCCTATAGCGTCTTCTGTCTTCAAGCTTTCAATAACGTTGTTAACCACAATTTGGGGAACTAAGTTCCTCCACATTGCTGCAGCCGTACAGTCTTCAGGACATTTACATCTCTAGGAGTTTCATGTCTCCGTGTAACTACTTTTCCAGAGTAGTCTCATAAGTTCTTTTTCGTGTTCAGATAAGGAGATTTTGCTGGTCACTCAATATCTTCATTTTCAAGAAATGTGTCAACGAAGTTTGTTTTGTGATGACAAGCATTATCATTCATAGGTAAAAAATCAGATAAATATGAAGATCTGAAAAGTCTTACATAACATCAGTCAATACAATTGATTCTATGACAGATCCGCCGTTTAAACTACACTTTAATTTCTAAATAATCCGTCCAACTCCACTGCACACAGAAGCTACAACAGGCACATAGAAGCTACAGCGAGTACCCTCCTAATTCGCATTATAAGTACACTTAACAGTCAACGCTACATCTCTAAGCCCGTTCTCTTTCCTACCTTCAGAGCTTGTCTGCGGCGACATTTAAGCAGGACAATGCACGACCATCCATTGCACGCAATGTTTAAGCTTTCTTCTTAGCCCACCACGTTGCATGGTCACATTGGTCTGCCCATTCTTCAGATCTATCGCCCATCGAACATGTCTGGTCAATGACTGGAGAATACCCAGTCCGATATGCCGCACCCGCGGGGGTACACCAGATGAACTTAGGCTACATGTAGAGGTATCATTGGCTGCAGTTCCCCAACCACACATCCAAAGCCTATTTCACTCATTGGCGTGGCGGATAATAATAAACGTGGAGGCAACACTCAAAAGTGATTTTCTCGTCTTCCTCACCTGAAAGAAAGATGCATTTCAAATGAATTATCATTGATGTTATGTGTAATCTGTGAAAAGTATTGGCTTTGATCAGTGGTGGATACAGCCGGAGCGATTTCGGTCCGATCAAGAAACTCGAACGATTGAATTGACACAGATGACTCAGCGAGACAGCCCTACGCATGAGGCAGGCATGGATGCGCGGACCATGAGGCAGGCATGGATGCGCGGACCATGAGGCAGGCATGGATGCAGGCATGGACGCAAACTCATATGACATACGGTAGCTGAAGGATGTAGGGTAGGGCCTATCATCGACAGTCGTTAAGTAGATTTATGAAAATACCGTACAGTCACATTCTAATTTAACGAGCCAGTAACAAAATATTTGAAGAATAAAGGATTAGATTACATCCCAGGATATAACATGATAAGGGGGGCTACAAGCTCTTTAAAAGCCATTTCTAGAAACATGTTATGTGTAAATGTAGAAACAAAATTTAAGGCATCAAAATTGTTTGCAACGGATTGCAATAATGAACTAGAAAGGGTAGGTTGTGATATAATTATAGTGAATTATACGTTAGAAGATGCCGAAGAGTGAAGCAAATAGACGACGAAGAATAGTCCGGCTATAATTTCAATTGCCCTGTCAAACAATTCGAAGTTACTATCTTTAATTTTATAATGAATAACACCATTTCATCGACGGGAAGTAGGTTTAAAGGGCATAGGAAGTCGTATCTCTCCTCGATCCCAAAAACGTTTGGAAGCCATTGTCGCCGGACTCTTTCGAGTATTTGTCTATATTTTTAGAACATTATGCAGATGTAACAATTGATAATTTTAAGGAAAAATATCAGGGCCTAGTAAGTAAACGGAAAATACTAAAAAAAGCAATTGCTTACTAGTCATTATTTACCGAGTCAGAACGACAGAATGCTGTATCTATTAATAAGCATTCATCCAAAGTTAAATGCAATTTTTGCAAAAACTGCATCTTGTGTGTGTATAAATTACTCTTGAAATAAAAGTTATACAGTACAGCTTACGCCAACGTATTTTTTGCTTATGAGTTTGTACTCATAACGCAAATTGAATGCGAAAAATCCTTTTCAAAATTAAAAAAATTAGATTAAGGAGTACTATGAAGCAAGCTAGAAGCAAGCTATTTGAAGCCGTTGCTATTGGTGAACATAGAGAAAGGCTAAAGCAAATCTGAAGATAGAAAGGAGGATATATTTGCCTAGGGACTGGAAATAAAAAATATTTAAATGGCCAATTATGAATCAAGCGCTGCTTCGTTTATTTAATTATTTAGTCACTGTTATTTATTGTTTGTAGTTTATTTGCATATATATATATATATACATAAGAAAAGTGTTACTTTTCTGCAAAGTTATACTTTTATTTTATAAAATTATTTTTGATGATGATTTATGACATTTCATATGGGGCCTTAAGGCCGGCATATTTTTCCTGCCAGGGACGATTCTTTGGCCAATCCGCCACTGGTTTTGGTATCTCTTTTTCTTCTTTGAGCTGCATTTTGAATGGACAGCAGCGTAGTTCATTATATGCGGAATCAGGTGTCTAAGATTCCATTTTTGTCAAAATTTTAATTGAAAAAATCTGGAATTGTTAAAACGGCGAAGATCAAATAAGAATTTTTACTGAAATTATTCATTGCAATTACGAGTTCTTATGATCCAATATCTAAAATTTAGAATTTAAATGTTTGCATAGCATTTTAGAATTACGAAGTGCGGTCAGCACCCTGCGCCGACCGACGAATAGCAATATGTCGCTGTTAAATGTAGTATGGTGCTGCCATCTATCGAATTAATACGTTACTTGAAATAAATTGAAACCTCGTAGAAACTGCATACTGTTTGTACCAGTTCTACGAATGCATCCAATGGATATTATACTTTTCTCCTTCCCCCAGGGCTTAATTTCTAAAAGTAGAAGTCTCGGAGGCCTATGGAAGACCGTCGGGAAAGAGGAACAAGAGACAAGAGTAAATAAATAAATAAAATGTCTATTAAAATCATTAAAAATTAAATAGGTAATGAGTAAAAAATTATTTTTTACATATATATTTTTCGCCCTGCGGGCAGAAAGACTTAGCGGTGCAAAACAGGACATGTGTTTGGTTTCGAAGTTTGAAACGGATTAATGGGAATTCTTTTACTCTAAAATGATTAAAAATGCTGTGATCAACATTACTTGCATAGCTATATTATCGGAAGTAATATACCAATTCTATAGAAGAGTTTTGGTAAAATATTCGAAACGTGTGCCTGAAAATAGTTTGACGCACGCGCTCATACAATGTTATAACAAAGATGAAAGTAGTTCTTTTGTTTTTCACAAAGTTCTTTTTTTTCCAGATCCTGGTATCACCTGTAGAAGAACAGCATGTGGTCGAATTTGTAGAGATCAGAACTGCGCTGCTGTACATAAAGAAACATCTTTAAGTGTTCTAATAAATGTTTTAAAACTTTCTAAGCAGACTGTTGACGTATGCGTGTATATGATTACTTGCAGCATATTAGCAGAAGCGTTAGTAGATTGTCAGAAAAGAGGATTAATGTTAAGGGTTATAACGGAAGAGAGGAATAGTGGTGAAGAAGGTGAAGTATTTGGCTCCCAAATAGGAAAATTAAGAAGTTCCGGTAAGATTTTATTTTCAATATGAATCATAATTTTGTTACTGTACATATTTCCTAGTGTTAAACAGTTAAAATGGATACCTTTTGACACTCGCACCTTCAATGTCAGTGTTGGGTAAAACTGCCTTTGTGTTTGGCCTTTGCAACAGCCAACCTACACATGCATTCATATGTGTAATCTGTATACATGGATTTACATACCTTATATTTAACTGCCTTCTACTGGCCACTGGCATTTTTTCTCTTAGGGAATTTTTTGTTTGTTTGTTTGTGTGGTTTAGAGAGGAGGATATCTCTCAAAATAGCTTGCTGAATTTATGTGGTGGAAAACTGAACAGGCAAGTATTATTTCAAAGAAATTTTTAAAACCATAGCTGAACAGTAACTACCAGTTTATGAAAATGTAAATATTGGACCATGTAGACTTTCTTTTTCTTTGTAAAAATCTCTTGCTTTTTATGTGGAGACCAACAATGCCTATGAGCTGTACCAGGTAGCCAAAATAAAAATATTTTTTTTGCTTATTCACAAAATTTCCAGTGAGTTGGTAACTTTTTATGGTGGTTCAGATAATCATTAAATACCAAAATAAGAATGGCTGATATGCAGGTCATGTGGAATCAAAGCATTTTCTTGCTGGAAAATGGTGGCAGAGTGATGAGCCTTAAAAGATAACGCGATTGGCCGCAGGGGGGGGGACTTAAAATATAGGGTGGTTATAATTAAAGTTCCACTTTAAAATGGTAATTTCAAAATTGTGAAATTTTTTGTGTAAAATGTGCAGTAGACAGTTATATATCTCCCGTTCTACTAGGCGGATTGATGAAATTCAACTTGCATTTTTCATTTCTCGGAAGTGCAACTTAGGATATGCATTAGATTTATATATAGCATTGTTCTAGTATAGGTATTTTGATATGAAATCCAACTTTTTCTGAAATGACATGGCAATTTTACCATATTTCGATTCTATGACTTAAATTATGCCAAACTGCCAAGTTTTGTGAAAATCGCACACATGGTTTTTAAAAAATGAGCTTTCAAAATGTTAGCTCCTGAATGTTAATTGAATTTGATATATATTTATGAATATCTTTTTATTAAATTTACATGATTCATTCTTCTGAATTAAAAATTTAGTTCAAAATTTTTATTAATCCAAATGTAATTTACACATTTTTTTGATTTATTTTTAAAATTTGTATTTTAAAATTTTTCTTATAAATTTTCAAAAACATTTGTATTATAACCTATAAAAATTTTAATATCTTAACTAAAAAAATTATATACCTTTACTTTGTATCGATTCTAATTTTCTGTGTTGGCACTATAGACACAGAGAACAAATGCAACAACAAATGTTCGCAGCACATTGAAGAAATTGTTTTCATGTGTTCCAAATACAGATATTTTTCACATTCGACGAAGCACATTTTTGTTTTTTTTTTTGTGCTTGCATCTTTAACCTTTTTTTTTTTTTTTTTTGTTTACAATAATTTTTTTGCAATAAAACAATTTATGGCATTTTCACTCTCATTTCCAGAATCTATATCGCTGTGTGAATCAGTATCGTGAACTAAAAATTAATGATCACTTCCATCCTCATTTTCTTCAATACATTCTTCATCAGTTGATACATTTAATAATGTTTGCAAATTTCTTCATTGTAAGATGAGTTATGCAACGTGTTAGCCGCTTTCTACACTATCAGAAATGAACTATTACTGTAATGGTAAGAGGTGCACTGGGTGTAAAAGACCCAATGTGATTAAAGCCAAGACTCTGAATCAAAGACCCAGCGAAAAAACTTCGGAAACATAAAGAGGTTGACCTAAGACATGACTATATTGGACCTCAACATTTCGCATGAAATAGGTGTGCTTTGAGAAAAGTTTGTTTAAATGCATGTGTCCACTAGACCCAGTGCGCGTGCTTGCGGGTTAAAGTAGATGTATTTAAGCATACCTGCAAAAAATGAAGCGCTTTTTTTATTCAAAATTTCCTAAGATATATGTTAATTTATATTTTGGGAGCATTTTGAAATTTGGCATATTTATTATGAGCAATAACAAAAATGTGGTTTATGCACTATGTTAAAATTATTTGAAAGAATGAATGATTGATCTTTTTTCCCGCTCGTGCATCAATGAAAAAATTAATTTTTAACTTTCTTCGTAAATTTCTCTCCAAAAATTACAAAATTTAATATCTAGGCATTGAGTCATAGAATCGAAATATAGAAAAAAATTGTTATTTCAGAAAAAGTCCAATTTTGCGTCAAAATACCTATATTAGAAAAATGCTAGATAGAAATCTAATATATATCCTAAGTCGCACTTTCGAGGCATGAAAAATGCAATTCGAATTTCATCAATTGGCCTAGTAAAACAGGAGGTAAAGAACTGTCCTCCCCCCTTTATTTTTTGGTGCAATGTACATATATGCATGCACACATACATCAATTTCTGGACCCCCCCTCCTCGCCGGATAACAGAATAGTACCTTACTTTTTATGAATAAATTTGATTTAAATTCTAATCAAGAGAGAAGATAAACATGCCAAAATAAAACATAAAATTAGGCAAAGCAACGACTGTATTTGCCGTAGATTTTATTCAAGATTATCGATTTTCGAGGGCAAACAGGTGCAGGTCCCTCTTCATCAAAAGTAAAGAAATCTAGCAGCTAACATTTCTTTGCTTCTGATAAAAAGGGACTTGCACCTGTTTGCCCTTGAAATTGATCAAGTCTTGATTAAAATCTATTCCAAACGCAGGGTTGTTGCTTTTCTTAATTTTATAAATCCTGATGTATTATTATTAATAATAAATGACTGAGGGTATGGTTGTTGGCTTTAACTAATAACAATACCTATAGTCATTAAAGAGAATTCTCATATTGCTTATTCTTAATATATTTTAGGTAACCGAATTTTTTTGAAGAACAATTGACAGTTTCTTATAAAACTTTGATGAATCCCCTTACATATGCTATTAACTCTCTCAGCGTTATGGCTGGAAAATTCCATACAGAAGGTTGCCTTCCACATTCATTATACATGAAAATTTCTGCTAGCTTTATTGGAAGAAAAGGAATCAAGGTACAAAATGAAAGAGTAATTTTTTGAATAAAATCAAGAAAATATCACTTATTCATGACATTTTGAGGAACTTTGGAATTTCAGGGCTAAACCCATAATGCTCAGAGGGTTAAGAGAAAATGCATATTACATGCAAAAATATTTACATTTATTACATAAACTCAAAATGGAAAATAAGTTTAACTTTGATCTTATCCTAAAGTGTCTGCTAAAATGACTTCCTCATGTATATTGATGTGAATAATTTGATAAATCTATTAAGTTGTATAATTTAGATGATTTGATACTTAGAACAATCCTGATATTATTTTTAGTTACAATGAATGTGAACTAATAATTACTAATCTTTCTTAGGTATATCTGTCAGATGCAGATCATCATCATTTTGGATGCATCATAAATTTCTTATTGCAGATAATGAAATTTTAGTTAATGGATCTTTTAACTGGACTAATCAAGCTGTTATGGGAAATTATGAAAACTTGATTATTACTAGTGAACAACATCTTGTACAGCCATTTGTATCAGAATTTCAGAGACTGTGGGATGTTCTAGCACCAGAAGAATTTGTAGCTGGAAATGCTCTGACATGATAAAACATTCATAACTTTTTTAATCTGCTTAAAATTCTGAATATGAGAATTTCAAAAATTTGTATGTAACATATTTTGTACATTATTTAATAAATTTTCATTTTATTGTTCTTGTGTATCTGTTATTAGAAAAACTAAATTGAGCACACTAAGCTTCAGGTTCAAGATATTTGATAATAGCTTTATATACATCCTGAAGTAATCATCACCAATGCTGTCAATTATATATCATGCTGAATTTTTTTAAACATCGACAGATCAATAGGACATCTGATAATGTCCTTCTAACAACAGCATTTGTCTATAATTATGTAGAAATATTCAAAAGAAGTTTAATTTTCATATATTGAGAATTTGGTGAGTTTTAGATTCAAAAATATGTGTATGGATAAATAAAATAATACAGTTATTAATTATATTATGAATCATAGTTAATGCTGTTCAACATACGCAGTGACATAGATAAACTAGCCATGCTAAGCTTTATTACTTTGAATATGTACTGGCCCCCTTTAGGCAGATTTACAAACTAATTGTGGGTATCTCAAGGTAATGGACTTGACATGAAGTGGAAGACTAATTTTTATTGATTTGCTGAAGAAAAAACTTCTGTAATTAATTTCTATCATGAATATAACACACTAATAATTCATATTTAAAATAATTAACCTTCTTTATTTAAAAAAATTAATTAGGTTACAAAACAAAGAGGTTGAATAACATAAAACTTGAAAGGGACAGACATTTTTGCCTACGATATTATTTTTTTAAGATTTATATCTAAAAAATTTCAATTGATTTTTTTTATATTTTAAATGGTAGAAATATATGCAACACATTGCTAATATTAAACTTTAAATATTAATTTATCTTGAATTTTCTTTCTTTTCTTCTGGGACAGCATATGTAAGCAAAATTTGAAAATGGGCCATATGATCCAAATGTAATCCATGTTGTTAACTCTACAAGGAAAGGGCTGATGTGTAGTATGGCTTTCAGAAAACAGATACATTAATCTAGAGGAATTTTTCTTATACTAAAACACCAGTGGCGTAGCTAGGGTGGGACAAGAGGGGCCATCTGTCCCCGGGCACAGCATTCAGGGTGCACCAAATTGATGTTATGAAATTTTAGAATAAATGTTTTCCGTTCTTGGCACAGAGAAAGGGACGCAAAATCTTCAGCTGTCCCCTGGTGCCAAAAACCATAGCTACGCCTCTGTAAAATACAAATATATATTAAAAAAATGATGGTAGGCTCTGTCTTTTAGTTTAAAGAGTTGCTGGTGTTTAATGCTTAGGCTTACTAATGGGAAGTGTGAGGATGTTATAGAACAAATAAAATGTGTAATTGGAGAGTTACTTTGCACCATATTGAAATTAAAATGATGTTTCATAAAATCGAATTTTTTTTCATTTTGTATGATGTCTACAGTGAAATCTCCCATCATAACGATAGGAACATTTATATCTATAGTAAACTCTTCATCGATCAGTAAAGTAATCTCAGAACATTTTGTCAGTGTACTAACAAGAACAACTTGAAATCTCCTGCATTAAAAGTTGAATGAATATATACAAATGTATAAATCTTGACTATCCATTAACAATTACATCTACCATACAAATATCACCTTCTTCTGAATCCTGTATCCTCTTATGCTGTTTAACAGTAAATTATATTGGTACAGAATCTGATAAACGCCCCTAATTTCTATAAATCACAAGACCACTAGCTTAAGGAAATAAAATAAAATACAGCGAACACACCACTGTCCAGAAGCCAACCTTAACAACTCACATGTGGTTGTACGTGCACACACAGGGTGACTTCATCAAAATTTTGCTGTTTTTAATGTTACTACCCTTTTGCTTAATAATAAACCCCCCTTTTTTAGCATTTGCTTATGTGCTTTCTCATTTATCTAATTATACATTTAGATTGATTGTAACATTTGCAGTTTGAAAGATATAAGCATTTGCACACACCTCTAATAGTATTTTGATTTTTGCAGTTGTTTTGATGTAGGAAGAGTTATACATTATTCGTTGGATAAATTTTGGTATTCTACAGTATACTAAGTATTCTAAGTATATGTCATAGTACACTTGCATGTCTGTAAAATGAAAACTGTAAATTTACTTATAATATACTTCCAATAAAAAATAGCAAAATTTGACAAATTTGATCAGTAAGAAAATAAATATTTTTGCTATTTTTCACTAGCCCATAATAATAGAAGCTTAGGCACTTCTATTTGTTGTAGGTAACAGTTTGTTGCAACTACTAGTCTTGTTTGTATACATTAGGATAATTAAGATACATCTTTAATATTGGATAACATATAAATGTTTATTGGAGGCATTAAGGCAACAAGAGTTAGCGTAATATTCAGAAGTAAAATTTTGCACTAAGAAACACAAGGCATATGTTGGGAAAAAAGAAATATAAATCATCTGTTGCCCAACACTGTTAGTCAGAAAATCAGATTTTTATTGGTGAATTACATTTTATAGAGGCTTTTCACATTCATAAAAAATCATTCAGTTCTAATTAACAATTCCAATTTCAATCTGTCTTTACCCTCAGCTTTAAGGAAATTACTTTGTAGTTGTTTTTATTCTTTATCAATAGATGGCACCAGTAGTTTGACTTAAGTTTTCTCATTGTTATTGCCTGAGCACAAGCTTGTAACTTTAACATGTCCAATAATCATTATTTGCCATGTTATTCGAATTCAAAACTTTAGATGTAATGTAAAGTTTACATTTAAAGTTTTGAATTAGAATACATCATTTTTAACATTATCGTATGTAATATAAATGCAACTCAATGCATTAGTTATTTTGTTAAAAAAAATACAGTGAAATTCTTTTACATTAGAATTATCATTAGCACATAAAAGTTTCATTACAAAATTGTATATAGTTAAATTTAGAAATCATTATTCATTGTTAGCTGTATTGTAAAAGAATACTATTTACTATAGAGAGATTCATCTCATACATTGTTTTCCTTTAATAAAGGAAATAAAGCTTTAATTTTTAGAATGCATCAGTTTATAAGTCTCTGCAACAATTCTTCAATTTTTATATGGTTATGACCATATACTTATTTACAGACCTTGGGAAAAATCAACATTGTATAGTCTAAAACAGGGATGGGCAAACTACGGCTCGCCAGAAGGTTCTATGTGGCCCGCGGATAGAATTTTAATTTGCCAGTCCGAGGAAAGTTAAAATAAATATATTATTTATGTATCATATATACATCTCCTTTTCTACTTTCGTTAAATATTTTTTTCGTCCTTATTTCAAAGGACTGATGATCTTTTTACTTTCTCTATTTTTATTCTACAAAACACAAATTGACGGAAACAGCTTTCAATCGGTAAAGTGTTAACAGCAGAAGTTCTTTGTTAGTTATAGCTGTAAATTGGCACCAACAAGCATTATCTCTTTCTCGGGGAGCAGACATATGGGAATCCAATTATAGGTGAATTAGACCTCTTAAGAAAAATTTAATAAAACAATCTGTTTGCTGGGTAGCTGGCTAGTTTTATTTCCCAAATTAATTCATACCCTCATAAATGAAGAGAGCTTAGATGAAGATGGCTGAAAAAAACTGCACTTTAGTTCGAAGAAGATTTCAAGATTTTGTGTCCTCAACGAATTGATTTTTTTTAACCATGCCTTTCAAGTAATTGTGAAGCAGTGATGTCAGTTTCAGCTTGAATTAACTGAATTGCAATCTAACAATCATCTCAAGCAGCTGTTTCTAAATATGCCAAAGTGAGTTTTACAAATCGTTATCGAAAGTAAGTTTTCCAAATTTTTAATATCTCATGCCCAGAAAATCAGTGCTATGTTTGTTTCATCTAGATATGAGAACAAGTATTTTCAACCATAAATCTTAGAAAGAATTATTTCAGAAGTAGATTGACAGATGAACATTTAACCTCACTCCTTATAATCAGTTCATCTCACTTCGAACCTCAATATAAGGAACTTTTAAAAATGAAATCGCAGTTTCATTTAGCTCATTAACATAGTTCAATTGTAATACTTGTACAGTACAAAGTCCGTAATCCAGACTCATCGGGACTTCGACGATTCCGGATTAGGGTTTTTTTTCCGGATTATAGATCATCAATTTAAATCTGGTAAGATGGCATGGAGAAATTATACAATTAAAAATATGAAATAAAGAGCAATTATGATCTAAAGGGTATCAAAATTTACAAAAAAAAAAAAAAAAAAAAAAAAAAAAAAAAGCTTAATATTTATTTGTTTACTTTATTATCAATTTAAGTTGTTTAAGTTGCTTCGTTTTTTGTGCTAATACTTTCTCTTTAATTATCTCTTCTATAAACAGACATAATTTTTTGTTTACTAGCTTTACGCGCATGTGTGCATTAAACATGCATGCATAAGTTTGTGGCTTTGAGGTCCGGATTATAGATCATTCCGGATAATGGATGTCTAGATTATGGACTTTGTACTGTATATTGTTTTTAAAGTTTTATAAAAATTTATCTTGGCCTGCCAAATTTTTTTTCGATTTTTGGCTCCCGACCGAAAATGTTTGTCCATCCCTGTCTAAAAGAACTTGACAAAGTGTTTTTGCAAATGAGGTGTATACTAGCATTACAAATGAAGGTGCAAACAGGAATAATGCTTAAAAGAGAATCATGTTTTATTAAATTAATACCATTATTAATTTGACAGCTAATAGCCATAAATATGTAAGTTCAATAACAGATGTTTAACAAACACGATATAATTATTTACTCTTTTTTCATACAAATTTACACACAATTTCATCTGAAAATTTTTTCACATGAAAAATACAAAGCATTTAGAAATGATAATTTAAAAAAATAAAGACAAAATATTGGCACATTATGATAAAAAATACAAGAAGCACTGCCAGCTAAAGCACTGCCAGAAGCCTCAATGAAGGAAGAAGAGGCTTGTTGGCTTTGCCACATTAACAGAAAATATTAAGTTAGTAAACTAGTTTTGATTTTTAAGTTTTACAAAAATTAATCCTCTTTGCATATTTTTCTGAAGAGAGGAATGTCTATTAGCACTTTACCAACCGATCGCCTATTAATTGGCTTTATATCGCCAATGCCTACTTTAGGCTACCTAAAAAAAGGCCTATAAATTGGTAGACATGGCAATAAACATTTGCCATTTGCTATATCATTTGTATTTTATTACTAGTATTGAGGTAAATTCCTCACTTGCGTTAAGTGCGTTGCTTCATAAACTTCCACATTTCTACGCCGTTCTTAAAAAATTTATCGTCCACGATGAGTGAAAAAAATGTTACTGCAGAGTTTTATTTAGACGATTTATTAGATTGTCCTGACAGTTATTCAAAACAGGGAGAAACTGCGGCTGAGTGGCCGGTTGGACATGCGTATGCTGTTGAACTGCCAGCGATCAGTAAAGTTGTTAGGTGGCTGTAATAAACAGGGAAAAAAAAAAAAGCAGTATATTAGAGAAAGAATCTGAATTATTGCGTGATCCTATATTTATTTACAAACCTGAGAAAAATCAACATTGTATGGGGTTAAAGAACTTGACAAACTGTTTTTTTGCAAATGAGGTGCATGCTTTATAGCAGATAATATAATACAGTACAAAGCCTTTAATCCGGACTTGTCAGGACTTCGGCGATTCCGGATTATAGATCATGAATTTAAATCTGGTAAGATGGCATGCAGAAATTATAAAATTAAAAATATGAAACCGTAATTTATGAAATAAAGAGCAGTTATGACCTAAAGGGTATCAAAATTTACAAAAAAAAAAAAAAAAAAAAAAAAAAAAAAAAGCTTAATATTTATTTTTTTACTTTATTAAACATTTCTTTTAATGTAAACACATATTAAGTTGCTTCGTTTTATGTGCTAATACTTTCTCTTTAATTCTATAAACAGACATAATTTCTTGTTCAGTTACAAAGTTTCGCTGTTCAAGTCCTGTAATTGTTGTGCCGAGAATACCGACTAACTTGTCAATCGAAACTTTTTCATTTTCACTAACCTCTCTGTCACTTTCTTCATGCCTTTATCCATTTTCTGCAGCAATTCCACTTTTTGTTTGATGGACATCGAAACATGCTTTCACTTTGTAGACCCTTTGGCAGCTCCAGAATCGGAAACTCTTTTTGGCATAATCAAAAGTTGAAGCTTACTTTTTATAAAATTGCTCTAACAGTCTGCAAAAAATAATAAGCCGGATCCAATTAGAAGATTATGAAACAACACAATCTGCAACATTAACTGAAATAGATAATTAGATAATTTTAGCCTTAGCTTATTCCGTCCGTTGTACATTAAACGCACATGCATAAACGTATTATGCAGATGCATAAAGGTATTATGCACATGCGTAAATGCATATGCACATGCATAAATGCTACACATGCACAGAAAGTTTGTAGCTTTGAGATCCGGATTATAGATTATGGACATCCGAATTAAAGACTTTGTACTGTATAGATAATTCAGTCATTTCAAACCATAGATATAATTGTTTTATTTAAAATGTTAATGGATAATTGTTATGTGCACATTTTTAAAGTACTCTATTTATGAATTATTAAAACATTTTAGCTGTCCTAATCATATTCCAAATTTATTAATTCTTAACTGATGAAGTTAAAAAGAGAGGTTTTATTTGATACTTATACATGCACTTACTAGACTCTTCAGGAAACTGTAAACATGAATAATTTTTATTAAACTTAAAAAACGTTTTGTACAATTTTATGGTAAAGTATATGATTGACATAATCATAGTTTCATCATGTTGTGTAAAGTTTACATAGATTTTTATATTTGAATGAATTATACTCTTTGTCATAGTGCTTAAAATGCATTATGAGTCATAAAAATATATTATGGACTACCATTTTCATTAGGATTGCCAAAATAAAATTTTGGTTTAAATCCAAACAGATGTTTTTTAATATTCTGTGCCGAAGATCTAGGTTGGTTAAATGATTATAGCAAACTACACAAGACACATCTGAATTAAGATAGTTGCCTTATCATAGCTTTTACAATACACTTAATATATCATGAATTGCCATTTTCATCAGTACTAACAAACAAAATTAAATATATATTTTTTATACTATCATCATGTGAATAGCTCAATTTCTAGGTTGGTTAAATGATTATGGCAAAGTATATAAAAGACATCTGAATTAAGATGGATGCCTTGTAAAATTTTTGAGGTAAATAAGCTTATATTTACAAGGGGAACACCCTTGCATGAATACTTACTTGAAATAATTACAAGCAATATATAAAACGTTGTATGAGTTTTCTGGGGCCAAGTAAATAGAGACAATCAAACTTTTGGAATTTGGCTTTAAAAATACCAATCTGACTAGAGGAGAAAAATGTGGAAATCACATGGACATTAGATATTACTTTTGAGTTAGACTGTATCTATTTTATGAATGATAGTCAAGCAGTAATAGAGTATAAATGTAACCATCCAATTCTTATAAATTATTTTATAAAAATTAACTTTTGGTTTCTTAAACTAAGATTAAAAGAACTTTTATAAAATTAAGGAACCATGACATTTTTACAGGAAAACATATTTTCATTTAGGTTATTTTTATTATTTGTGTTTATTACAATATGGATGGATTTAATTTCATGAAATTATAAAAGTCATCTAAATAACTAGAAATATGGATAAAGCGTTTTTAGAACGGCAAAGGATGTGTATTTCTAGATACACAGAAAGAAAAATATTTTGAATACTTCATAAACGTCTCTGTACACTTTAAAAAAACTTTTGTTAAAGTATAAAAACATATGTTACAATAAAATGAAGATTTTAAATATTAAATTTATTGTTTTATAATTACTGTACTAAAGCATCATACACATTGTACTGACATTAGTTTAACATAATAAACATTTTACATTTACAAATGCTTAATTTTGAAGAGGAAGTTTTAAAGTAGAGAATATAAAAATAAATTATTCTGATTTTTGAGAATTATGTTTCATTTGTAATTAACAACAGCATATAATTACAGATTGTTTTGTACAAACATTCATCTTGAATTTATTTTATGCTCCATCTTTAAATGCCAATGCAGTCAATGCTTTAGAATGCCCACTGTATTCTCTTCTTACTTCACCAGTAGCAATATTCCAAAGTCTTGCTAGATGATCTGAAGAAGCTGTGGAAAGCACTTAAACATAAAAAAAATTGTTTTCATGTGAAAATTTCCTTATGTATCCTAACCAGGGCTTAAATAAAGCATTTAATTTTAAATACTGTATGGTGTAATTAAACCACAAATTATATATTTACAAGACATGATTCTAACATCTACCATTAAAACATTACTAAAATATATGTGAAGAATAACTTCAGCCATCAATAAACATAAATTGATTTTAATTTGCTTAAAAGTAAAGGCATTAGCTTGACGTGCATTATGTAATCAAATTGTGACTCAAATTACTAAATTGCACAAAGTACAAATGTCATTAGAAATAAAAATAGAGTAACTCTTTTAATTGTTTATTAAAACATTAAAAGCAGTTATGAGTTTATAATTTGAACACAGAAAAGCAAATACGTGGAAAATCTCATGAAAGGATTCATATATTTTTGTATTTGGCAGCTACAATAAAAAATAAATCTACCATAGGAAACATAAGTAGATCACAAAAGTAAATTTACAAGGTTTATATTACATCAAAAGCAAAATTTATTTTGACACTTTATGTCATATTCTGTATTCCATAATAAGCACTTTATTAACTATATTTATTATGCAGTCACCATGACATTAAAAGCAATGAAGCATCTCCACTGATTGAATGCTTTCATCATTTCAAAATATCTTTTGAAACTTAGAAAAGTATGAAAAATCAGCTGGCATAGATTATAATTGTTAAAAATAGACAACCTTTTCTTCTGAAAACACTGCAAAAATTTCTGAATTTAAGTGGCTTGGTTTCAATAAATATTATTTCTGCACTGGATATAAGAATCTTGGAACTACATGCATACAGGTGTGCATTCAGAATGAAGTAGACTCAAGCAATGCATCAATTCATTGGCAGTCACTAATGTACACTGAAAAAAAAAAAGGACAGTTTTATATCTCCTGCTCTACTGGGTCGATTGATGAAAGTCAAACTGCGTTTTTCATGTCTCGAAAGCGCGACTTAGGATATATATTAAATTTATAAATAGCATCATTCTAATAGAGGTAGTTTGACACAAAATCGGTTTTTTAGTGAAATGACATGCCAATTTTTTTCCATATTTCGATTCTATGACTCAAATTATGCCGAAATATTAAATTTTGTAAAATTTGGTGCGAAATTCATGGAGAAATTCAAAAATTAATCTTGCCACTTTTTTTTTCAGTTTGCATCAAGAATATTTCACTTGGCGAACTTCTTAATTTATAGCAACCCTTTTTCTAATTGTAGATAGGTGAAGGAAAAGTCATCATTTATACTTTCAAATAATTTTAACAAAGTGCATAAACCCTCATCAACCATGCCCATACAAGCATATGGTGTGGCAGATTACAGTCCAGCATAGTAATCTAACATCATTGTCACAAGTATTACACACCATAAAATACATCACTACAAAGGATATGAAGCACATAATTTTCTACACTATAAGCTAATTTAATTCTGTGTAACAAGCATGGCCAAATTGCAGCTTGTGAGTCACGTGTGGCTCGAAAACTGCTTGAGGCTTTTTGACCCCTTAAGTGTGACTCTCCTGTAACAAACAGTCATTTCATTTTTGAAATATTTGCAGTTAAAAAAATCATGCAATGACATGCATCTTTAACAGTTAGTAATAAAATTTTTAAATTAATTTATGCGTGTAATAATTTAACTATTTTAAGTTGTTCCTTATGCACTTATGATCATAGTAGCAATTAAAATAGGAAATAATTTGATTTGTGAGAATTGTAATGACACTGTTATTTTTAAACTAGTCAATGACCATTGGAACAGTTCTAAAGAAAAATGCGAACAATAGTTAGAAAATAATGCATTTCAATTGTTTTTCCTCAGATGTTATTTTATTTCAGGCAGTATCTCCTTGCAATTCATCTATTCCCCTTGCTTCTCAATAATTGCGACCGAGTGTTTTGCTATTTTTTGTAAGGATTGCTTTTCGTCAGATTATTCGGGAGAAAAATCATTTACCTTTATTAACAAATCTTCATTTTAATAAAATTGTTTCAAGTGGCAAGCAACTTAGATGGCTCAAGCTTTTCTCAAAATACAATATACTGATACTAGTGACATCATTGTAGCTTGAGATACTTTTTCACACACTGCTCGATCATCTTCCTTTCTAATCCATTACAAGTAGTATTACACTACCTTTTTCTATCATTATTTTTGGTCTTTCTTCAATCATATTGCACATCTTGAAACATTTTTCACAAAAGCAGGTATTTCAGTGGAAAATTGTACTATGATTTATTGAATTACTAATAAACTTCATGCAAAGCACTGTAAAATTCTATTGCAAACATTTTCAAATTCAAATAAAGAATTCAATCTGATTGTCAACAATCATAGTTCCCCAGATACCTGCAGAATACATTTCAAACCTTCATTACTTCAAAATGCTGTATTATAGAGACTTCAACTGAACACTTGCTTTTGTTTCAGATTTTTAGCTGTAATTTCCATATGTATATAACTGGGCCTGCCATCAAAGGTTACCAGGAATTAATGTAATATTTTTTATATGGTATATCAAAAGACATCCTGAAAATTGAATGGAAGATTTGTGCTGGTAACTTCAAATCTGAAAATGGTTGGTGCAATGCCAAACAGATTTAAACAGAAAGATATGTCATAGTATGTAAAAATTGCATAAGAGGGAAAAACTGGAAATCTAGAAAAAAGTTAAATTCATTATGTACAAACAGTAGCATTGTTTGTTCTTCAAATAATGCATAACATTAAGGATATTTAATTATACTTCTATTTAGTCCACATTAAATTTTTACAGGATCATTAGTGATAGTTCTTCCATACCCTTCGAAGCTCAGTGGGTTTAAAAATTACATTAGTAAATTGACATCCAGTTTACGGCAAAAACATAAACAATAGTATTTTATATTACATCTCTATTGGAAAATACCCATCATTAGTAAAAGTCCGATTAAAATATCTACCTCAAATACATGTTCTATAAGAAATTTTTACAGGATCATTAGTGACTGTTCTTCCATACCCTTTGAAGCTCATTGGGTTTTAAAATTACATTAGTAAACTGACATCCAATTTACAACAAAAGCATGAACAATATTTTACATTAAATCTCTTATAATATATTGGAAAATACCCATCATTAGTAGAAGTTCGATTAAGATGTCTATCTCAAATACACATTCTCTAAGAAATTTTGACAGGAATATTAGTGTGAATCTTTCCTTGCATAGCTAATCACCCTATCTACTCTACCTTTCTGTTACACCTATCTCATAAAATTTCGTTTCTGTTGTCCTAATAGGAGTTTTCATGATGAAATCTATATTAGGGAAGGCGATTAATAATAATGAGTCCAGTTGCATCCCTCAGGTTTTAGTGTCGCTGCCTTATGTAACATAATTTTATGAACCTACACTCACCTTCCAGAATGTGATGCATCTTCAAGATCAAAATTGTTGGATCGAAATTTTGAAAACCAGGTTTTTGGCACTGGTGTTCTGACAATATATCTTCTCCATACATACCGGATAATTTTTTTTCTTGCTTGAACAGCATTTTACCCTTCTCGATATTAAAAAAATAATAATATGCTGAAAATGCTGCTTTTCCCTTTCCATATTTGAGAGGGCACCAACCAAAAACTACTGCGCAGAATCAATCGAATGTTTTCACAAACAAGCCTTGCTACATCAGCTGTCAAAATATACAATGATTATGCGACTTAAGTGTGAAGTCGGCTGTGAAAAAATACAATAAAGCCCTCTGTTGGCTGTCTTAAAAAACTAAATTACTTTCCGAACAACCCAATATTTATTTTTCTTATGTTACTTCCCAAATATAAATGAAAATAAATGAATGCAAATAGTTAAATAGGTGAAAAGACAACTAATCTCCCTGATGTGTTGCTGCATTTGCTGAATATGTACCTGGGAACCATATCTCAGAAAACACAATAAAGAAATGTTTTAATCATGACAGCCTTTGATTACCAATTTCTTAAACTTTTGTAGGATATGCAAAATCTAACAACAGTCAGAGGACTAAATAAATGATGAAACACAGGAAGTTTAAGACAATGGTCTCCAACTAGCATGATTTGTAAGAAATTTGACGTGGATACTGATGAAAACATTCAAGTTGGAGTACAATTACTTTATTGAACAGATCTAGGCATAAAAGATGAGTAACTTTCTGAAGATGATGATGAAATTTATGGGAAATTCCCTACTACTACTAAAAAAGGAAGGAGCTCCACTTGTTAAAATTAAGAGTACAACATTAATTGTGTAATTTTCATACAAACCATGAATATGAACAATTTGTAAATGAAATTTTGTATAACTAGAGGCAATTCTCTAAAAATGAATTTTTAGATTTTTAGTCCTTTTAAAATCATGTAGAAAGGTGCTTTTGTAAATTTCTGTTATGCTTGATTAAATTAGTTAAACTGCACTAACCTTTTTTAAGGACACTTTTTTTTTCTGTTTAAAGCTATAATATTCGACAAATATGATCACATTATATGAACATATGTCTCTACATTTCTATGGAAGCATGTCTTATATCTCTGATAAAGTGAGATTTTATTTATTTTGTTTTCATAATAAAATGTATTTTTAATTCTGATGTAACATAAATTTCAGTTTCTATTAGATTATTATGCAAATCTAATAATTTTTTAATAATTAATTAATAAGTTTGCAAATTAAACATGATTGTGCTTACCTGTAAATACATGACTTGAATCAGCACTGAAAGCCACATCCCATACCCATCGTTGTTCATTAGCTTTCAATTCCACCATAGGGGCTTCTGGAGTTTTCTTTTCAATGCCTCCTGTTCCTACATTTTCTGGAGATGAAGGTGCTTGTTGTAAATTTAAATCTGTAGTGCGCCATATTTTTGCAGAACAGTCTGCGGATGTTGTGACTAACAACCTGTAGGAAGTAAATTTTAATTTTGCTTTAATAAAAGACACCGTAATATTAAATGTTTCTACATTTTAGGCAGCTTAAAAAGGAGAACACAGGGGCAAGGAAGAAAGAAAATAAATATTTGATAATCATATAAAATTATTAAAATTCTTTTTTTTTTTTTTTTTTTTTTTTTTTTTACTTTTTAAAATTTTTATTTAATGACCAGCATATTTACTGTGTAAACTACCATATATATCTAACTATAAGCTGATCCAACAGCAATTAAGATAGCTTAAAGAAAAATATTTTACTGAAAAAAATTCAGCCAAAATTGAAAAATTATTATTCATAATTTACTTATTTTAATTTTTGATATAAATGTTTAATTGTATATTTCTTTCTCTCATACAGATTAGGAAATAAGCCAAATTTAAAATCATTCTCTAAATCCAGCTATTTGTTGTAGCACTGAAATTGCAAATAATCAATTATCCAACTTAAATAGACATACTGATAACTTGAAGATAAGTACAATTTACATTATTCAACACTTTTAGTTAATTTTACTTTAGCTCTCATTTGTGGTAACCATCTCAAGCAATAACAAAGATTTTTCAATTTCTCCTTTGCACTCTCACCTTTTATGAGTACTATTCAATTCTACTATATAGTGCAAAATGCTAGGAAAAATAAAGGACAACATATTTTGCAAATTTTAAACTAAGTTGTCACTTTTGCTTAGCAATGTAATGAATGGATTTGAAGATGTATTATCTAAGAAATGGGTGATGTTAATGATCAAGTGGAGAATAATGTTATTCGCATGGACTTGCCTCTAGCAGGGAGAGAGAGACCTTTGAGAATTACTACAAAACTCTGAGTCAGGTATCACTATTAAGAAATTTGACCAATATATTTTAAAAGTAAACAAAATAAAAAAAAAATTTTTTTTCAGTTACTTAACTTATAATATTATTTTTTGTGATTGAGTTATTTGTAAATCATTTCAACTCATATATAAGCTGACCCACAAACTTCAGAAAAACATTTGTTAAAAGTTCTCTTATATATACACGGTGGGTGGGAATTAACTCCCCAATGAAAATTGTAAATTTTTTAATACTCATTTTCATGAAACAAAAAGCATTTTGTTCCTTACAATTAGGAATTTATTACATTACATTTTATTTATTCCATGGCAGGTACCAGTGGCAGACTATGCTGTAATATGTAACTTTGTATGAGCGAGCTCCGTTTGCACCTCCGTGCGAAGCATGACAGTCTATTGTACAAGTACAAAAATGGTGGAAGTGTAAAAGGATGCAATGGTAGATGCAAAGACCATAAAGAACACAGATTCTGTAGAAGATACTAGGAGAAGCAGCTTCCCCTCAACATCCAGAACTGAGGAAAATGTTGTATTGTTCTTTTATCGGGGCCAGATTCAATAATGTTTGTATATATGAATGTATGTCTGAATGCATGTATATGTCTATGCATGTATGTTTTTATTTTTATTTGTCAAGTGCCAGTTACATTGGCCATTAAGCCATTAAACTCCTTGCTTGCTAATAGTGCTGAAATATCTACAAGAAAAATTTGTCAGTGCTTCACTCTCGTCTAAATGTTCCACCGTCATTGGCCATCCACTATTATATAAAACACACAATGGTGAATCAGCTAGTCCAATACGAAATAAATGATTCTGTAGACAGTTATGTCCCATCAATAGTCTAAAAGATGCAACTACAACTGTTCGCAGATGGTCAGGAACAAAAGCTGGGTTTGTTGAGAGAGCAACACTCCAAAGCTTGCCCTCACAAGCCTGAGTGGCAAAATCTCTGAAAGTCTTTTGATATGTTAGCGATGTCAGAAGCTTAACAGAAGAGGCTTGCACTAGTTTTTGCTTTGGAGAAACGTAGCCCCCTTTTTCACAAGCATATCAGCCATCTCATTCCCATAAATACTGCAATGTGAAGGTACCCATTGAAAAGAATCTTGTGGGAAAGTTCTTTTATGACTTCCTGACACTGTTGAATTCATATGTTCTTACACTCTTGGTAAGAGGAGATGGCCTGTATTGCTGAAGTCGAATCAGACAGTAAAACTGCCCTCCTGAATGAGCTCTGTCTCAATGATAATTGTTGGAGAGCCACATGAATGGCTTTCAGTTCTCCATTAAAGTGAGTGGAGTAAGCCCCTACAATGTATGTGTATGCATACATGCACACATATATGCACATCCATATATACATGCATAGTACATATACACATTTCTCAATCCACTTCCAATAACAGAAGAGTACCAAAAATGCAAAAATGGTTCAGAAGATGTTCGCTCAGAGTTATCATAAAGCCAGGCATCTCCTGAAAGTGGTTTAACTCATCACACAATCCAAACTATTCTGAAAGATGAGTTGATTTTTTATTTATGGAAACCACATTACTGCAAGGGATTATCACAGTAAGACCTTGGTAATCACTTGGAGTATGGGAAGATTATACCTCTTTGGTATGAAGACAGGTCTGGTAATATCCTTTGGTCAGAAGAAGCTGTGTTCCATGCTGGAGAGTTTGTTAGTTGGCACAACTGTTATTATTGGGTGGAAGAAGGATCTGAGGATGGTTGTTAAAAAAAGTCAACATTGCCCAAAGGCCATGATGTGTATGGCATAACCACCACAAAAGTTGTGGTTCTATACGTTATTCAGAGTACAGCGAATGCAGAATGGTACCCTGCTATGCTTGAAGATTATATTCAGAGTATCATATAAACTTGGAACAATTATAATGACTTAATCTTTATGCAAGATGAGGAAGAACCTCATTTCGCATGTCCTGTCTACGAAACGCTTGACTCCCATTTTCTAGGCTGTTGGTTGGGATGTTGTGGCCCCTGGAATGGCCTGCAAGGAGTCCTGACCTAATGCCCTCTGACTTCTTCCTCAGGGTTTGGGAGAAAGAGGAAGTTTATCACACTAAACCAAAAACTCTTGATGCACTGGAGGAGTGAATTCACCAAATATTTGAAGAAGTCTGTTACAAACATTCCCAACTGTTTACAAAAACTAGTGAATAATGTTGGTGCTTATATGGAATTTTAGAAATGCATAATAATTCTTACATTGTAAGGAACAAAATGCTTTTTGTTTCATGAAAATTGGCTAAGTATTAAAAAGTTATAAACAATGTTCAATAGAGAGTTAATTTCTGCCCATTCTGTAGAAATATTCAGTACTATTAGCAGAGCACGACTTAGCACCAAACATAAATATAGGCACAAAATCTAACCAGAAGACAACAACACTAATGCTATATAAAGCTTCATGAAATGAATAAATATTTTATATGTAATGAATATAATATAAATCATGTTTAATGTGAGCAATCAAGGCAGTGAATGATTAAACATTACAGATATATTATCATAGAACAGTTATTCATAATGTGATATAAACAGGCTACCACATTTGGTGATTAGTACCTAGTTAACAGAAAAGTAATAAAAATTCTAATAAGCAGATATTTTTTACAAGACTACATTAATATTAAATAATTATTTCATAGTCATTTAAAATGTCCATATTAATTATAGTTATTTAATTATTTTATAAACTTGAAAATTAATAAGTTGTAATGGAAACTTACGTAGAATCAGGACTAAATTTGCATTTTAACCCATAAGTTTTATGTGGTACAAAATACGAACTTCGTACTGGTTCCGAATGTGAGCTTTCACATCCCCCAAATCTCAGAGTAAACAGATAGCAGTTACCCTAAAATAATTAAATGTATTTATGTTAGAAGCACATACACAGAGAACTACAAAATTTATTCAATATTTATTGCCAAAGCATTTACATTTTTTTCACAAACAAGTAACATATTCACCAAACTATTATTATGTCTACCAAAAATTCATTGTTGCATTCAGACAAATAGTTACTCCAAGACCATTAAAGTTGCCAAATGCATATATACATGGGAAGAATTTTGATGTCCACTAAACAAATGATTTTCAAGATTAAGCTTATACTCGTATGTGCTTTTATTTATAATTTACCTGTCTTAATATGGATTTTGAAATGATCAATTTTCTTTTTACACCACCTATTTACTCAAAAATTAAATACAGCTAAATATTTCAAATCAGGATAACATAAATTAAAATATGATACTTGTTGTATTTGCAAATCCTAGTTATATGTTGCCAAAATTACCATTGACTCTTGATTTGTGGAAGCATTTAGGAACCCAGGAAGTTGTTCCTGATTTTTTGAGAAAGATGAGTTTTTATTTCTTTCCATGTTAAAGTTTTTTTTTTTTTTCTTTTTCTGAGAAAAAGAAAATAGAGAGTGAGTTCTTTTTGTTTTCTTTTTTTAATATTAATGTTAATTTTCGAATAATTAGAGTAAACAGATATCTGCATTGCACCTTTTTTAAGCGGAAGGAGCAATACTTTCCCAGCAAAAAGTTTGTTTTAGAATAACATTTGCTCATCTCTTATTAATTTTTACCTACATTTTACATCATGCATTTACTAAGCTTGCAGAGAAATGAAGCAGAAGCAATTTAATATTTTCAGATATGTTATTTTGCTAAAAAAATCATCAGTTACCCAATTCTCATGCAATGAAATGGTATGCAATACAAACCGAAAAAGTTGTTAGAATAAAAACTCAGAAATGGTTCAGGAGAAGTCACTTTCTTAGCAGAGCTCATACTGAGGCAGAGACTGCAGAAATTAAAAGCGTGATGTGATTTTGAACATGATTGCTGATGAATTTCTGCTGGAAATTAAAAAAAAAAAAAAAAAAAAAAGTTTCATCAATCTGCTAAATGTTGAAAATGTATTTCATCACCAAAATAAGTTACTGGTAACATTTTGGCAGGTACGAGTTAATACAGAAGCTCCTAAAATATTTCACATTATAAGTTAAAATTAGATATGCTAAAAACAACTCAAAACAAAATTCATTGTTGTTGTTGTTTTGTCCATATTACATGGAACAATGGTTGCCAGAGCCTACTCCAAAGAGAGGTTGGACTTCTATTTTCCACCCCCAATTTTGAGGGAGAGCACTCTGAGGAGGGGGGACCTGGGGGTCTCCCACCCTTCTCCACACGAGAGGCTAGCCACATATTTAGAGTGCCACCATGCTACAGTGACACTATACATTTACAAGCGTCCATGTCTTCTTCGGGATTCAAATCTGGGCCTTTCAGTTCCGTAGTAGGCTCCCCTACCACTATACTGCCTGGGCGACAGAATCCATTACTCTTAGGATAAGAAGTTCTAGATAATCTTATCATAGTTTTTCAAGTTAAGCTGCCATTTATCATGATGTCAGTTTATGAATACATGATTTGAAGTAATTCATCTAAAATTTTAGCAATTAATATTAATTTTTAAATGAAATATAAAAGTATAAAATAAAGTATGGTGTATGAAATGTATTTAATCTTGGTAATTTCTAAGATATTAGAAAGAATGCTGATATTTGCATTCTGTGCAATGTGCTGATATTCAACACAGAATATTTAACACAGAAAGTAGGGAATAAAATTATTTAGAAATGAAGCAATTATGAACATAATCAAAGCATAACATTTTTGTAAGGAAGGGAGTCATTAAATGAACTGATTTAGCTGAAACTACCACTGATTGATTAAACACTGAAAATCATTGTTCATTAATGCTTTAATTGCAATTTTAGTTCAGTTTTTAGGAAAAAAGAATTAAAGAATCACTAAATATACATTTTAAAAATAAACTTTATTTTAAAAAAGAATTAAAGAATCACTAAATATACATTTTAAAAATAAACTTTATTTCTTAAAATGAATGAAACAAAACTGTAAAGTTACATTATAGTCACTCAACATGTGTTTGGGCAGCAAAATCTTAAATTGAATGAATTGTTTATTATTAGTTGACATAAATCTTGATCTTATTCAAAGAGTTGTTAAAAACGAAATGAGTGATTCACAATTAAGATCTATTGCAATGGAAACTACTGGGGTTCGCTATCCTCAAAATGAGTGGTTGCATATCTACACTGATGGCTCTATGTTATGTTAGAGAGAACACATGGTGCTGGAGCAGGTATTCATATCAAGCTTTTCAGTTTCTACTTACTACTGCCTTTGATGGTGAAATTGAAGCTACTGCTGTGTCTTTTCAACAACTCAATTTGTAGCCACTCTTTTGTAAAAGCAGTCATATTGTCAGATTCCAAAAGTGCACTTCAAGCTCTTCTGAATAATCAAAATAGTTCCCAAAGAATCTTAGACTGTAGGTCTTTGCTTAAGACAATGGCACGCAGAATTTCTTTCCAATGGATTCCAGCCCACTGTGTAATTATGGGAAATGAAAACGCTGATACTTTGGCTAAGAAAGTAACTTTCATAATGCATTAATCGACCGCTTTCATTTCATATGACTAAATTGTTTGTTAACCTGAGTCTTAAGCAGGATATGATTCAGCGTGCTATGGATAACAGTTGGAGGAACAGTTGGGGAAGAGACAATTTTCATTCCCAGTTTCCAAGAAAACAGCAGTAGCTCTATTTAGACATCTGACCGGACATGACAGTTTGCGAGACCATCTCTACAGAATTGGAGGGGTGGATTCCCCAAACTGTAATTTGTGCGACTCCAATCAGTCTATTATTTTTGAACATTTCTATAATTGTATTGCACTTTCTTGGTATGAGGACATTGTAAAAAAGTATGGTGAGCCCGTAAACAAATAGCTTAAGCACCAATGTTTGTTGTTTGTAAAATAAATATATAAATTATTAGTTGACAGATTTCCAGACCGCATTTCTCCAAACATCAAGAAGTTTTTCACTGATGCTAAAAGTAGAACAACATTGTGAAAATAACCTCAACTTTCAAATTATTAATGAACATCGAGGTTTACCTCTTGAACCAAAATTATATTTATCAGTGACATCTTGAATAAAGTGAACAAACATGCAATATATATTGATTTATTATACTATAGTTATTATTTATCTTAGTTCCAGTACTTTCACCGAAGACCAAAATCGTCTGGAATTTGTGGATGATCTTGTAAAGGGTTCAGTAAAAATGTAAACGTAAAAAAAAAAGCTAGCTTTTATTAATGACCATATAATGCATTAAATAAGATTAAACATTTTATCATACAATTACATCATTACCAAAAAACTGTTATGCAAAATGATTTCTTTGAATAAAGAAAATAAACCTTCTAAAATTAAACAAAGACCATCAACCCAATAGAGAAGTAAAAACAGCAAAATTTAAGCATAAATTTGCAAAAGGATTGAAGAACAAATGTAATACACAAATGCTTGATCCAATCAAGCTTCAAGATCATGCATGTAAATCTATATGACAAGGCAACATGGTGTGTACAGAGATGAATGATTGTTCCCACCATTGTTGCAGTTCAGATATCAGCTACAGATTGCCACATAATTAATGACTCAGAATACAAAAAAGTTAATGCAAGTGGATTTCCAAAGAGTAATTTTCTGCATGATCAAGTTATTGAATGCTGAGTTATGATCAACAGTTATAGTATATAAAGGATGCAAATACTATATTTCTGATATGTTATGAAGATTCTAGTACGAGGATGGATTATCACTGGATAGAACATGGATTCATTGCAATCACTGGGTAACAAGATGCAAAGCATGAAAAAAAAAAAAAAAAAAAAAAAATCTTTAATAAAGATAAAACTCAGCATTCTAATACGAAAATTGTACTGATTTTCTGAAACACAAAAGGCCTTTATCTATTTTTAAGAGCTTGCACAAACAGGAAGCATAGCAAAATAACACTGCGCTGTGCTTCAAGAGAACAAAATCTGCTATTCAAAGCGCAAAAAAAAAAAAGAACGTAATCAAAAAAGTCTTGATGCTTCAATAGAATGTACACTGCGTGCAAAAAAAAAAAAAAAAAAAAAAAAAAAAAAAAAAAGGAAGGGACAGTTCTATGTCTCCTGTTCTATTGGGCCGATTGACGAAATTCAAATTGGTTTTTCATGTCTCAAAAGCGCGACTTACGTTCTATATTAGATTTATATATAGCACTTTTCAATATAAGTATTTTGACACAATATTGGACTTTTTCTGAAATGACATAGCAATTTTTTCCATATTTCGATTTTACATCTCAAATTATGCCTAAATATTAAATGTTATAAAATTTGGTGCGGAATTTACGGAGAAATTCAAAAATTCATCTTGGCACTTTTTTCAGTTTGTGCCAAGAATAATTCACTTGAACTTTTTAATTTATAGGAACCTATTTTCCTTTCCCTTTTTTCATTGTACATGAGCAGAAAAAAGGTCATCGTTCATACTTTCAAATAATTTTAACAAAGCGTGCAAACCACATTTGTAGTTATTATCGCTTATAATATATATGCCAAATTTCAAAATGTGCCAATATGTAAATTCATGTATATCTCAGAAAATTTTGAATATAAAACTTCTTAATTTTTGGCATGTGTGCCTAATTTTATAGGTTATAATACAAAAAGTTAAAAAAAAATTATAAAAAATATTTAAAAATACAATTTTTAAAAATAAATCATAAAAACGGGCGAATTATATTTGGATTAAGGTTAAATTTCGAATTTTGGAAGAAGGAATCAAGTAAGTTTAATAGAAAAAAGGATATATTGATAAATATATACCAAATTCAATTAACATTGAGCAGCTAAATTTTTTAGAGCCGATTTTTTAAAAATTACTTGTGCTATTTTTACAAAATTTAGCAGTTTGGTATAATTTGAGTAGTAGAATCGAAATTTGGGAAAAAATTCGCATGTCTTTTAAAAAAAAGTCCGATTTTGTGCAGGGCCATTCCTAGGCTATTGGCTGCCCGTGTACTTTCCTAAGATTGCCACCCCCAAATAAATAAATAAATAAAAAAAATGCTTAATGATTAATAAAATTTTTATTTCATATTCACCGAGTGCATACACATCACAAACTGTGTAAAACATACTCATATATATGACAAGTACTAACATTGAATTAAAAATATTTAGGCATGGTAGTGCGAGAGTCTGGCTGCCTGTGTACATTTACGCGCTGCACCATCACTAGAAATGGCTTTAATTTTGCATCAAAATACCTATATTAGAACGATGCTATATAGAAATCTAATACATATCCAAAGTCGCGCTTTTGAGACATGAAAAACATGAATTTCGTCAACCGACAGTCCCATTTTATTTTTTGGACAGTGTACATCCATATACAGCAATCAGTGCAGTGAAGACAGTGCAACAATGGCTTAAATGTTTCTGTTTCCTCCTTATTGCCATGATTTAATACCTCAATCAATCATCATAATCTTTGTCCACTGAAATAGATTATATACGTTGCAGGTTTAACTCTGATGATAAAATTAAGGATGCTGGATGTGGAAATTTTTTTAAAAAAACTTTCTTTAAAGAACAGAAGCTGAACTATGCTTCAAAAAGACTACAAAGGAATTTTTAGGTAACATGCAAGAGAATTATATAATACAGTGCCTTTACTTGTTGATACTCCATTTTATAAATTCTATACTTAATAATTATACTTATTTTGAATGATTTATTTTAGACATAACGTTACAAAAACTCTTACTTTGTTATCTAATGCAGCCATGAATGTGCCTACTGCATCTATGTGTATGCTCTGAATTGATATATGAGGTTCTGCTACCTAAAATACATATGAAAATATTTACACATATGAAAAACTAGTCAAATCAAATTTTATTTGAGGAAAAAATATTATTGTCTCATTTAATTAAACAAGCATGTCATAAAAATCTGAGTTCCAACCCTGATCACATTAAAATTTTAATACTGGTTTTCCACTACAGCTTTCAAATAAAGTATTTAATCAAAAATTCAAAACATTTATTTAAAAATTTATAATGAAAACATAATTTTAAATTATTAGATTTATAAAATTTATATCAGTGCATTATATTGAAGATAAATAACTAATTAAATTTTTTTCAGAATTTATTAATTGTCTACATATTACATTTTAATGCTAATTTCACCAAAAATCTATACACCCAAAAAATATTATGCATTCTGTAAATATTATATATATATTTTTAAATATATTTGATATGAATTTTGTTAGTTTCATTCTATATTGTTATGAAGAGGTTTCTGTAGAGTCAAAGATATATTCAATAGTCAAATAATCATGCTCTTTGGTGTATGTTTCGGGGAACTTGGAAGGCCCACAAAAAATTGGTTCAGAAATACATTTATAGATTTCAATTCCAGTTACATTTCCTACTTGAGAAATAGACATTGAATTAATGTCATCTTGAAAATTTTACATCGACACTGTTTGAAAATGTAGTAGAATGCAAATATGGCTTACTTTCAGCTTAACTTCTACAAGAAAATATTTTGGTGAAGGATAATTATTTGATAACAAAGTATTCAATGAAACATTGTTATAGAAAGATGTGAAACAACTGAAGAATTAAACAATTGTCTGAGAACAAAACTGGAGTGAAATTTTTCACACAATTAGATAAATCATATTTTTTTTTAAATCTGAAATATTAATAACTGAATTCTAGTTAATGTTAATAACTGCAGCAAGACAGCATATATTTTGATTACAAATATAATGAAACCTCTCATGACAGTTACTCCTAAAAGCGGATATTGTGAGATCATACATAAACATTATCTTGAAACAACACCAATAGCAATATTCTCCAAGGTATATTTCATAAGGTACATTTTTATAGAACACCAAAATCACTTCAAACTAAAAGAACTGTTTGGATGATTTCATTGTAAGCAAATAAAAAAACCCAACGAAGCATATTAATTGTTTGATATAAAAAATTCATACTTTTCCATTTCGCCGGCGTAAATCTCACCATGCAGACTTTATTGGTGACAACATACAATATACACAAATAAAAAATTTTAATGAATGTTAGTTCTAAGAATTTTTTATTTTGAAGGCATAAACATTTTAATATCATTTAAAATTTTGTAAAAAGCCAATAAATAAAGACAACAAATTTTTAAAAAGATGCTTATTTAAGAATTTACTATGCTTTCATGGTTCAACATCCTGATTCGCCAGTTCATATCACTTGACCCCAAGTGATCTCAGCTTACGTACACTATGTTACAAAAATCTAATTCTCTCAGTAATTATCTATATTAATTTAAGTTAAATCTTAATTTAGAATATAAGTTTAAAAGGCAAGAATTATTTCAATTTGTACGAATATCTTACTCAGAAATTATGTAAAACCGCAGTGCTTTACTTCGATAGTGCATTCTCATAAGAATTGATGAATTTAACCCTTGACTTTACCTTTTCTATATTTCCGATTTTGGGTGAGCGGTGTGATTGCATCCTAATTGACTTAGTTACTGCGAATGGCCTTAGGGCATAAAATTGAACTATCTGGTAAACATTCTATGTAATTGTATGCCAGTATTGAAAGAAACAATCAATCTGATAAGAAATGACTGAAACTTACTTTGAAAGTGAGGCGTAAAAGGTTACCAGCGAGTATATTCTGTTTGGCATCAATTGTACCATTACTAGTGACTTTACTAGCACCGGCAAAATGGAAAAGTACCAAAACATTTTGTTCCAAATAAAGTGTTTTTTTTAAAATTTTTTATACTTATCATTATAATTTACCATTTTTATCTTATATTAATTAGATTAGAAACATCTAGTTTATTTTTATTATGATCTGCTTGGTTTGTTCCTATTCCAAGATACTTCATGTCTTTAATGCATTACATGATAGAAAAAGATTATATGTATGTTAACAATGTATAACACAATAGCATTAGATGATAGAAAAGTTTGTGTAATTTGAAAATAAATCAAAAGTAGTTACATTTAAAAGAAAACAGATTTTTAATATATATATACATAGTACAAAGTACAAAGTCTGTAATCCGGACGTCCATTATCCGGAATGATCTATAACCTGGACCTCAAAGCCACAAACTTTACGCATGCGCGTAGAGAATGTGCACACATTATGCATGCACGTAAAGAATGCGCATACATTATGCATGCACGCAATGTATGCTTTATGCATGCGCGAGTTGAAAGTATGTTTAATACAGTAATGAAATAAATAAAAAGTTTTTTTTCTTGTAAAATTTGATACCCTTTAGATCATAATTGCTCTTTATTTCATAAATTACGGTTTCATATTTTTAATTGTATAATTTCTGCATGCCATCTTACCAGATTTAAATTGATGATCTATAATCCGGAATTGGTGAAGTCCCGATGAGTTCGGATTACGGACTTTGTACTGTATTTAATAATATATTGACTTCCATTTCTTATGGTTGTCTCTCTTACAAGTTTTTGGATTCTTTTTCATGAAAACTGCATACTTAGATAGTTCCCACTGAACTGAACTCCTGCCATCAAAATACTTTGCAGACAAAAGAGCAGCTGAAAGCCTAAAGAAGCAAAGTCTGGAAAATGCTGGAGAATTTTCTATTTTACTCCTTTAATTTTCATAGCATTGCTTAAGCAGTATGTGGAATGGCATTGTTATGATCAACGACGACGACACCTTCCAAGAGGATGATTTTTTTTCCCTTTTTTTGTGAATTTCCATATGGAGTTTGATAAGTAGCTCAAAGTATTTATTTGGAATTACTGTTTCCCAGGTGAAAGGAGCTTGAAGAATGACTTACTTTTCTGGAATATCATCAAGCAGACAATGTCACCTTCATTTAGATACATGTCTGCTCTTACTTACCTATACGTTCCATACTTCACTTCCAGCTGTATTGCATATTGTTGCCCAGAATCTTTTTTCATCAAATGATATGATTTAATCCAAAAAAGGCACTTTTCTCCGCCCACAAGACAAAAAAAAAAAAAAAAAAAAAAAAAAAAAAAGATATGGATTAGCCTATACTTTTCTATCAAATTGTGGCACATAGACAAACTATAGATTTTCAGGCTTTTAGCAAATTCCTTAGTTATAATCCTTGAGTTATTTACTTATTTTCATTTAAGGCAAGCACAACATTCTTAACAATGCTGGTTAGCGATACAAAGGTTTTTATTCGCCAAGTTAAAATCACAATTTTGAAATCTACCAAACCAATTTTTATTGTAGATTAAAAATAAGAGCTCAGTTGAAATGTATATTTTAGATTTCTTTTTGAGTTCCAATGTTCAATCCTTTCTAAAATTCATATAACATAACCTGACATGCATGTAATTTTTAATTCTACAACTTGACAAAAGGTCTTTCACTTAAAAATTACATCACTGAAAATTCCTGTAACAATGGTTCATCAAGTTACCACTTGTGAATCAGTATAGCACCTTGCAAAGAAAATGTGCTGCCCCATACTTATGTGCTCCACACCCATACCTGTGTGTCTGCTACCTATGAAAATCAGGAATGAACATTTGTAAACACCCAATAATAATATGCTGTCTTTCTTATTTTCTTACTTGTTGCTGATATCAGTGACATAAAATTATCAAATTATGATAAACTAATTAAAATTACAGCACATATCATACATACAAAATACCTATGGCTATATAACTAAACAAAGTTTATGTCATAGTTTTTTTTTATATGGAATTAACAGTAAATTCTACGGTGGATGTTTTAAATATTAGATTACAAAGGAATATATAATTTAAAATTATTATTAAAAGAAATGTTAAATTAAATGTCAATCTTTGCTTTGCTATGCTTAAAATTTTTTAAGTATCTACAGAGTCAGATTTGCTTTCATGATTTAAAAAATATTTTAAAAAACTATGTGTATAAATTAAAAATCAAATTTATTCATTTAGTTTATAGTTGGATGTTTCAATTATTCTAGTAACAAGAAATCTATGCTACAAAATTTCACTGACCAGCTAAATGATTAGCAAAATTCCTCCCTTAAGCACTTAAATATTCATTTTGTAGAAAATACATTCAGAAAATGTGAATACAATTTTTAACATGTCTCCTGCACATATCATTTATGAATTTTAAAAATTGTGTGTAGAAGTGATAGAACTTATTTTATTCAGACATACAGATATGTGTTAAATCTTGTAATTCAGTGTGATATGAAATAGATGACACTTACTTTAAAAAAAGGTTTTTTCATTTGCTGGTCATTGAGCTCAGCTCTCAAATCCCACAAATATATTGCACCACTTTGGTCTCCAATATACAGTTCACTTTGGTTTGGATGTAAGCACACACAGTTGACTGGAGCATTTGTACCAAACAAACGCTGACACTGCAATGTCCTAGATCTTTAAAGGAAATCATTGGCACACGTGTGTCATACTAACAATAATTTAACAATTTTAAACAATAGAAAAGTCACTCAGGTAATATAGATACATTGGAATTATTGTAGTAGTTTTCAAGTCGCATTGGGATATTGTAGTTAGTTTATAAGCACCACAATAAATCTCAGTATTTAATTGAAATCATGCTCAGCTGTGTGGTTTTAGAGCTTGTTTATCAAAGTGTTGGTGCAGTGAGAGAAAAGATATCAGTTGCACCTTGTGAAAAATGTTAATTATTTCCTTGTACTAAAAAAAACATTAGCTGATTTGTATTATCAGTAAAAGATGAGAAATAGCTACTACTGAATGGCAAAGCTCAAAAAACCGTCATTCCAACTGCAATGTCATATTTCCTTAAAGCTGGGTCTTTGACAGTCACTGTGGCGAACAGCAAGCATTGTGAGAAAACTGTGGAATAAGGAATGAAAGTAGCTGTGTCCAGTTCAATTCCAAAATCTATATAGTGAGCAAATTACTTACCCAACCCACTAACTTAAGAATTATTTATTTAATGATACAGTTGTTCAAAATTTGTACATTTTGTAATTTATTCAGAATCATGAAGTTAAATTTAAGTAATACAGTAATATGTAAAGACTGTATGTAAATGTAAAGACTATATGTAAAGACTGTTGTGTGACATATAAAATATAGCACTCTTCTATTATCAGGACCGGATTCAGAAGTGTATGTATGTATAAGCTTATATATATATATATATATATATTTAAACAAATTTTAATTTTAATTTTAACAAACACGTATAAAAGTAAAAAAAGCAAATTTAAAGCTAAAAAAATATGTGTACACACACAGGCACATATGTATGTACATATAGACATGCATACATGAACACATCCATTGATCCATATATATATATATATATATATATATATATATATATCTGCACCTTGTCCTAATAACAGAACAGTACCTAAAATATATAATTAATTGCTTTTAAGTGAATCAATCTAACTGCAACAATTAGGTAAGCCTCCATTCTGAATTTGGATGCCATTAAAATTATTGATAACACTAAAAGCTTTGAGCTATCTTATCTTGTAAATTAAAATATAAATATATAACCAAACAAGACTAAATTAGGACTAAATCTGATATTAAAATCAGAACTGTTCATATCACAGATTTGTCATTAAGTTAAACATAATTTTGAAATAACGTATAAATAATAACTTCTAGTACCTTATTTTCAATGACTGTGTGAAATACTCCAATAACAAATTTACTTAAAAAACATCTCTACAAGAAACAATCTTATCTAAAAAAAAAATCAATTTTTTTTAAAAATTCTATAAAAAGTGACACATTTTAATAAAAGTCATAATTACAAAGGATGTAGCGGCTTCTTTGAGTCTTAACTTTTCTCATAACAAACATATCAGAAACTACATAATTCTACTTTCACTGCCAACTGGCAAAAATTTCTATATTTATTCTAGTTTATTCATAGCGTTTTTATAAATATGATGATCACAGAATAAATTTAGTAATTTCTATCAATCAGCTTTGAAATTAGAGCGAGTTGCTTTCGGATTTACTTCTTATTTGGCAAATAATGATTTCTACCAAAACCACACTGAACTAACTTTATCAACAATTCTAAAAATTGAGGAAATTATATTGTACCTTAAATCCCATATTCTAGCTGCATTATCTTCAGATCCTGTGAACATCCACCTACCATCTTCTTGGAAACCAACAGCAGTAAAATTTTTTGGCACCCCTTCATAGTTAACCACTGGATTTGGATTATTTGAATAAATATCATACATTCGTATATGCTGGAAACCTGATCAGACATTACAAAGAATAATATCAAACTGGTTATAGTTATACAATGAACAACTGATATATTACAGGATACAATTATTAAGATGTCTACAAGACGTGCAACATACCTGCAGCAGCTAATAATTGTCGATTTGGTGTAATTTCCATGCTGTTGACTTGCTTTTATTAATATTAAAGTGATATAACATAAATTTGCTTTTGGTAACATGAAGAGGTTTAAATTGGAACATTCTTTCTTTTTTACATGATTTAAGAATTTTTATTTCATATTGGTACCAGAAGAATAGGGATATTTTTGTATCATATACATACACAAAAAAGAAATACATTTAAATGTTACCAGTATTGCAACAAACAAATAATAAAATTGTGTAATCCATGCATAATATTATATATTATGTACGAAACAATTTTTTATACAATACAAGCAGTTTTAGCTTAACTTAAGTCCTTGAGACCCCACTAGACTGAGAAGTGAGTTATCGCTCCAGTCTGAATTCATATAACAGTCTTATGAAGATTAAAATAATGTTTTTTGAACACCTTAAATTACCAGAAGGCAGCCCATGCGCTACACAAGATAACTCCACTAATTAAAGGTATTTCGGTGAATCTTCAGATTATGGTAACTAGGATAATTTTTGGCGATCAACCCTGCTACAGCAACCTGCTAGTTTTTTTTCTGGACACCATTTTGTTTTCACAAAGTAAAGGCATGTTTTTTTTTTTTTTTTTTTTTTTTTACTCAACATTTTTTCTAACAATCTGCTAGCCGAATTACGCTTATACTAGAACTTTTATGGAACAAAAGTGCTTAATCATGACGAAGATTAGGTGCGAAATTGTGAGAAAGTGCAGAATCGCCCACTGGTTGCCATGTTTTTAAGAACTGCACATACACGTTATCCATGTACATGTTGACCTATTTTCACTTAAAAAAACATCCCAGAATTGCACAAAAATGGTATTGCACACACTCTTGACTTTATCCACGTACACATCGATCTATTTTCACTTAAAAAGTCAAAGAAAATTGACAAAAATCCAGTTCTTCTTACTCTTGTAAAAAGCGCCAAACAAATAAGTGGGCGATTCTGCACTTTAGCAGCGAAATTGTTTCCAAGTGCTTATTAGCTAAAATCACGATTGGAATTTTCCGGAAAATGCCCCATTACATGTCTCATGATCTCTCATTTCTCTGAGACAAAATAATCTGTGATTCGAACTGTGTACTTCTCAGATTATTGCTAAAGTCCTAGCTAGTAACCTTTATCTCCTTACCAAAATGTTGCCAAACTACCGGTTATCATATTCCAAAGATTAGCCGGTATTTCAAATAACATAAGATGAAGTTAAATTTAAGTAATACAGTCCACGACTGCACACACAATAGTTTAATTAAGCTGGCTCAAGTAATTATTGACACACTTTTAAGGTTGGTTAGCAAAAGCTGGAACACACTTTAGCAGAGACAATGATAGTTGAAAGTAAGACTGCCAGAAGCTCCAACTTTAAAACATTCAAACCCTCCACTTAAATACTCATTAACTAATTTGAAGTCTGATGAGAATTATAGAAAGAAGAAATTACAGTAAAGTTTCAAATCATAATATTTGGTTAATTAACATTAAATCCTACACAACATTGACAATACATAGCATACAATTTTCAACAGGAAGATATACAAGCACCAATATTCTATAATGCCCATTTAATTAATTCATAAAAATACTTCAAATAATCAATAAAAATTATTCTATTTTATTCTTTGTTTTCACAATGAATAAAATAAAATTCAAGATTGAACTAATTCCACTGAAGCTATTGAACGATAATAGAAGATACCTTAACATACTTTCCTTATAATAATATCTGTGAAAAGAAAAATGTGATTTTTTTAAAATTTTATCCGTCTGTTATTTGTTTTTATGGATTCAAAGACCGGAATTATTAGAAGAAACCAAGCAAACATGGTTTCTTCTAACAATGCCACCAAGTAATGTATTGTAAAAAAAAAATATTACATAATTCTACCCTTTTATTTCCCGGTTACCATCTACAAACTACTATATAGTGTCTTAAATGAAATCTTGCCTTAACAAAATTCAAAGAGTATTTCAGAAAATTATAATAATAAGAGAATTAAAATGTACTCCAGTAAATGAGAATTATGTAAGTATCTAGAAGCTCTGTCAGTCTGCCAAGACATGGGTAGTATTTGAAAGAATGTATGCAAGAGCCTAAAGAGGTATAAGCTGTTTAGGCTATATATATGTGTGTGCGCAGTAAGATGATTTGGAGTAAGCTGCAACAGATTGATGATGATTCTCTTCATTATATCCTGGAGAGACTTTACTGTATAGTTAGAAAGATAACATTCAAAGGAAAGACATGTAGACAGACGTGGCCGAATTGACTATAACTTTTATTGCTGGATACAAACTAATTATCAAAAACATATCTTGTTTAGATCAGAAAGGTTTTAGTTCTCAAAATTTTGAGTTCAGGTTCTGAGTTACGCAAGCTATGCAAGATGCATTAATTTAGAAATGACGCAGTTCAGAAAAGTTATGATTTTTAGATTAGAGAGGGAGAATTATGGGGTTAATATTGATTTATATATTTTTATCTTACATATTCCTGTTGCAGTTTACTCAAGTCATCTTATGACAATGAAGTCAACAGGACATGGGTAGTATTTGAAAATGGAAAACTGGCCTATGGAATTAAGTGCAAGTTGAAACGTGTTAAATGTTGTCTAACTGAAATTCCAAGTGTTTCGAAAGCAATATAAAAACACACACACACACACACACAAAAAAAGAAAAAAAAAAAAAAAAATTATGCTCTGACTTTTACAATCTTCCTCTGCATTACACCAAGCGATCATTATTTAAGTAGTAAGGAGAAAAAGAACATCATCCATCATAATGTATCCATGAGTGGTTCAAGGTCCTTTGGCTGATAATTTGTCTAGCTACATTTCCAGTGTGCGGGAAAATTCGAACTGCGTGTTAACGTTTAATAGTCTTAAGCTATTTTATCAACTACATTAAATCACATCTTTTTTTTTTTTTTTTTTTTTTTTTTTTTTTTAAGGAGATGCAAGAATGAGAACTGCGATGATTTAAAATTTTGCATCTAAGTTTAGTAAAAAAATTGCCAAAATTTAATTGTACTGACTTAAAATTTTTTTGAGTTTAGTTAATGTTATTTTGTTAATAATGTATACTAAATGTCTTTCATTACAATAATTTAATAATTAAGTAATTTTTAAATTCCTGATGGAGGCAAGATCGAAATCTGTTTGTTGCAAATGTCTCGAAAAGAAATCTGAAATTGTTTCTGTGGACAAAAGTAAATTTACATGTCCCATTTTTATGTGCCCGAAAATTTTTTCATTGGCAAATAATTAAAGTTTTCTGCAAGACAATTTAACATCAAAAAATTTTTCTGGAAAAGAAAAATTAGCTGCAAGATGGATTGAAATGATGCAGTCTAGAAAAGGGAGAATTATGGGGTTAATTTTGATCTATATACTTTTTATCTTACACATATACACACACACAAATATATATGTCCAAATCTATACAGATACATGAATATGTATAACATCTTACTTTGTTGAACTAAATAAGATGGGAAAAAAGAAAGATAAATATAGCTTATGCTGGTGTGTTTAATGTGAACTTTTTTGTATACCTTTGAACTTGAGATGGAATTGCAGATATTAATATGTGGAACATTTCAAATAAGGAACATTAAAAATCCATTTTATGTATTAGTACACGTATTTTGGACTGAAAAATCAGAAAATTTACAAGGATACAGAGCTGGGATGTTGAACTGAAGACTGTCTTACTCCACTGTGTGGTTGCCAAAAATTTATGGTATGATCATAACCACCTGTGGCCAATATCATCTTGTTCTGTTGTTCTTCTACTGCCATGTCATGTATTCTTTACTGAAAGATAAAGTAGGAACTTTTGATATACATTTCTTAAATAAAATCAAAATTCTTGAAAAGGCATACATAGATAAGAATTTCAGTTACAAAAAGAATACAACTAACATAGTAATATTCTTTTTACAGCCTTTCTGAAGTAATCTACAAATGCCTACAACTATGCCACCACTATTAAATCTTTGAAAGGATTCTATTCAAGCAATTATCATTATAATTAAAATTTATTTTCTTGGACTTTAATGGAATATTTCCTTTTGATGCAGTTTAGAAATTAATGGATTGAATTATTTGCTGATGGCAGTGCACAAAGCAGTACTTGCCTCTGGAAAAGATTGTATAAGGTATCATGCATATCCTATATAAGTGATCTTCAAATTGTGTTCTGTGGAAAACTGGAATTCCACAAGTCAAATCAAAATATGAAAATTATTATTGTTATCTAAAATAATATAAAACAGATCAGTTTTTAAGAGCAAAGTTATAATTAAAGAATGCTTTTCTTTTCATTTCCCATATAAAGTATATGAAACATTAATATATTTTAAAGCATTTTTTTTTTAACATTGACTTTTCTGAGGATGGTAGAAGTTCTAAAAGAAAAATTAACAGCTTTATAAGTTCGAGTTAACAAATTTTGAAGACGCATTTTCTGAATTATACTTTTTATATAGAATGCATAAAAATGAATCTTGATTTAGACTTATATACACTTTTTAATAATAATCAGATAATTACATATTAACACAACCAATCTGGCAATTTTTTACGCATTGAAAAAGTTACTTATTAAGTGCAAGTTGGTGGTTTTCATGAACTCTTTTTTTAATGATAGATTCCCAAACTATCAATATGTATTGTAAATAGGCAGACACTACAGTACAAAGTTCGGAATCTAGACATCCAAGGTGCAGACCTCTGAACTACCAGCCAAAAAAAAAAATATATATATATATATATATAAATAAATAAATAAAATAATAATTCTCTCTCTCTCTCTCTATATATATATGGATCCAGAATAGAGATTAAAACAGCTGCTCTCCCCCCCCCCTAAAAAAACCCACAGATATAAGTCTAATTCTTCTCTAGACTGACATTCCTGCATGTCGTATTCAAACACCTGCTGGCACCATGGCCAATCATAATACATTAATTGACACTGTTTGACACAATAACAATTTCAGCCCTTTAATGGTTGTGGAAAGTTATCCTTTTCTGTCTGACCTAAACAGAAGAACTCCAATGCTGCCATACCTACATGTAGATATTGAAACATTGGTTAAAACGTAAAGAACCTGAAGACCATTCACCTAATGGAAGCCCCAATGTCCTTTAAGAAAGTTATCCTTTTCTGTCTGACCTAAACAGAAGAACTCCAAAGCTGCCATACCTACATGTAGATATTGAAACATTGGTTAAAACCTAAAGAACCTGAAGACCATTCACCTAACGGAAGCCCCAATGTCACCATATCTACATGCTATCTTACCAGATTTAAATTAATGATAAAAAATTCAGAACTATCTGAAATGTAGAATTGCTGAAGTCCTGACTATTCTGGATCTCGGACTTTGTACTACTATATCAACATATGAAAAGAAAACACACTTTAACAATTTAAAACTTACATTCTTCACTAAATCTTGCCATAATTTTTAAGCTATTATACTCTCCAAATACAAAGGGATCTGATTTTGTTTTTAAAAAATATACAGTTACAAAGTATGAAAACCTCAGCATTTGGCAGTTATTTATTAATATATCTCCTCAGTGTTCTCTTTTAGAGACTTTGCAGCAAAATTCTGTAGTCTTACAGAAATTTTACTGCAGTTAAAATTGTTAGAAAATTCCATATGCACATATTGTAAAATTAAGTTTAAAAGCAAAATTATCATGATTTGTTTATAAAAACTGTTGGAATTTCGAACACAATAAAAATTTTCACTGAATTCAGTGGTTTTCAATTTCAAATATATTCTGGGGCCACTAATGGATGAGTGCTAAAGTCACTGAATACTGGTAGTTTGATCTAGGATTTGAATACCAGTAAACGGGCTGATTGCAACAGCATTTTTGCGCTCTGTAACATGGATATGAGCCAGTTTTCCTAAAAGTCCTCTGCGGATGTCCTTTCCTTTGGTAGATACCACTGGTGCGTTGCTGTAATCCAAATATATGTATATACAGTCTCACTTATCGTCTATAATCTGCTATCAAAGATGATTTTATTCAACCATGAAGATCCTCCAGATTATCTTACTCCTATCCCTAAATACTAGAAGATTATTCTCAACAGAAGCCTCCTCCCTGAAGCTCTACCTCGGTTTTATTTTATCAAACAATCAAGAATGCGAATCAGTACTGTAAAGTACAACATGAGTAAATTACATTTAATATGTATTTTACAAATCTCCAAACGAAAACTATACTTTAAAATAAATAAATCATCAAATGTAAAAATTTTTATATAACAAAACTAGAAAATTTTGATATAATTTGATAAAAACTTCGGGAAAAACTGTCTTACATCTATTTAAATACACACACATTACATACAGATCTCTTGTTTTGCATTCACGAAGTCTTTCCGATTGATACTTTTATTTACGTTTAACTCATTATGTAATATATCCTGCTATTTTGAGCCTTTAATATTATTGTAAAATGATTAGCTTACATTGTTAAATATTTTTTATTAAAATTTATTTAATCTGCGATTAAAAAGTAATTTTTACATTTTATTTTTAAATATGAAACACCATAAATTCAAAGAACTGCTTTGGTAATACCTTGGCGAAAGCTCACGCATTGAAGACGAGCAGGCGACAAGTGTAAACAATGAATGTAAATAATATGGAAGTTCTAAAATGAGGAAAGCACATTTTGAGAATATTTAAAACTTATTGACCTTTATTTTATTTAATATGGCACATATGTTTAGTGGAGCTTTGCAGTTAACTGACTTAAATGATTTTATTACTCCTTCTCAGGTAAGTAGTAACTAAAGGCTACCAAATCAGTTAATTAATTAATAATTTTAACTTGCATGTAACAATTATTTTACTTATGCTCCAGGAATGTATCAAACCTGTAGTGCTGCAAAAGAAGGATAATAGAAGCTCATCGGTGGTCATCTCGGATGATGGAAACTATTTTGAAACTAACGAAGTACATAACTAACTTGTAAATAAGTAGTTATTTTGTGTTAACTAATCATTAACGTTATTTTGTTTTGTTTTATATTAATATACTTATTTTGTTATTAGGATGGATCAAAAGAACCGTTACAAAAAGCCAAAATAACTTTAAATGATTGTTTAGCATGTAGTGGGTGCATCACTTCTGCAGAGAGTGTTCTGATTTCTCAGCAGAGCCAGGAAGAATTTTATCGTATTATGAAAGAGAATTTGGTTCATTCTGAAGTAAGCTGCTTTATTTATGATTTTCGATCCTTTTTTAGGCACCTGCCACGCATTTTGGCGGAATTTTTAATTGCAAACAATTTCTAGTTACCAAAAATAGTTTACACACATATACAATGTTAGAATGGTATTATCGTTGGGTCTCGGCGTGTGTTTGATTTCTCTTTCACGGGGGCTAGAAAACATGGCAAGTGCATAACGAAAAAGTATTTATTTTTATGTTATATATCTTCACAATAGTAATTTTTTATTATAGATTGTTATAACGATTCTTTTTTATATTTAGGCAGGTGATCTTGATAAAATTAAAATTGTTGTGGTTTCTGTTTCACCTCAGTCAAGAGCTTCTTTAGCTGCTAAATATAATTTAACTGTTGAAGATACAGCGAAGAGACTGACAAAGTTTTTTCACAACTTAGGTATGTTAATTTTTGTATCTGGCCCACGTACTCTGTCTTCCGATGTAAACAAATCCGAAATTTCACCAAGTGCCGGTTACGGAAACATCCCCTCTTTATTTAATGTTTTGAAACATTTATTGAAATCTACCTTACTTTAGGAGCTTATAAATTTTATGAGATTCACAATTGTAATTTAATTGGCAATGTTGCAACATACTGAAACTTGGGTATAATTGCAGTCATACGTTAGAAAATTAGGAGTTATACATCTAAAGTTCAAAGCTTAATAAATAACACAAATTAATAAAAAAGGTATCTGTCTTTGTGATATTAGCTTTATATTAAAATTGATTAATGTTAACTCATGTATTTAGTGAATGCGAAAAAAGTTTTATAAGCTGGGTATTGAAATTCTGTGTCATCTTTCATATTCTTCTGATCTTTCCTTAGCTGATTATTATATCTTTGGATCATTTTTTAAAAGAGAAGTAATTTTGAGAAAATTATGACATATCCAGGATTACCTTAGTTAAGTATGTTTCAGTTCATGTGGGATGAATTTTCTGTCAGTTCAGAAAAAATGTAGCATCAGGCTTATTTTGATTTAAATTAAATCATTTTAAGTTATTATTAAGCTTTTCACATTCATAAAAATGTATCTATTATAATTAATGGTTTAAATTCTCATCTCTGCATCAGTATTTCTGCACTTATTTTGTGACTATTTTAATCCCTCTTTCTTTTCATTTGATATTGCTCAATAAATGACATTATATTTCTGGCATATGTGCAAAATATTTGTTTTCTTATGAAAGAAGACTTGTGTCTAGTGATTTCCAAAAATGCTTCGAGTCACTTTATTTAAAATGTATCCACTAAATTTTTAATTTTGGCATTTTGCGTCTTAAGTTGGTATGCACATCCAATTTTTCCTTTTTTATCACCTTAATATTTAATTTCAGATGTTATGCTGTATGACTTCTATTTGTTTCCATAGTATTATTCCTTGATAAAATTACTCACTATTTTTTTCACTGACATATAAATTTAAAAACAAATCCACATGGATGATGTTTAATTTGGCTTACATCTCTATAAGCAGTATTGAAAAAGGGAACAAAATAATTTATGCTTTATTTCTTAAAGCCTGGACAAGAGTTAGTCCTTTTTAAAATTTTAATTTCAACTGTTTTACAAAGTTATATAATGTACAACAAAAATTATAATAGCTATGTTCTTTGTTATAATTTCTCTTTTCTCTAAAATATTCATATCTAAAAAAGTTCTTAACTCAGATAATCATATTCAAAAAACTTATTGTTGTTAAGACACTAGAGGCATTTCACATTCAAAAAAATCTTTCTGTTCTAGTTAACGATCCTAATTCCAATCCATCTTTGCCTTCGGCCTTTAAAGAAATTATGTTTTAGTTCTGGTTTCACCAATAGATGGCACCACTTTCTTACTCTTGTTCAGGCTTTCTTATCTTATCTAATCATTATTTCCTATCTTGTTCATTTGCGGTTTTGCAGCTGAGGATGGTGGTTCGGTAAACCCACCGAAACTAGTCCTGTGAAAATTTTAAAAATATAACACTGATTTTTGTTGTTTGACTTCTGAATTGGTATTATTGTTATTGCTTAAAGATTATATTGTGTATTTAATGAATAATGAATTTTGTACCTAATTATATGATCTTTTCTATCATGGAATCATCAGATTTTTTCTTCTTTCTGTTTTCTTTTTTTTTTCCCTTGTTCACTGTATAATAAAAAAATATGTCAGTTTTTTATTATGCTATGAATCTCAGATGATTTATTAATGTGTAAAATGTTATAAATTCTTGCTGTGTTTTATGATTTATTGATGGTATGTATTTAGGGGTGACATTTGTATTTGATACAACTCTGTCTAGAGAATTTTCTCTCATTGAAAGTCAGAAAGAATTTGTCCTTCGTTATAGGAAGAAAGACATACAGTCTGGAATGTTGCCTATGTTGTCTTCAGCATGCCCAGGTAAATTTTTGGTACTTACGTATTATCCTGTTGACTGTATAAGTTACCTGCCATCGAGCCATCAAAGTTGCAACAATTGTTTCTACAAAATTCTGAAGGAATGGATACTTGCATATTAATAAAATAATCAGTATTCAACCCGCTTTATTCTTTGCACTTTGTAAAATACTTTCATCAATTTCTACTGTATTGTTAGACTTTCTGATTTTATCAAAAGCTGTGTTTAGTATAGACTTCCTGCAGGTAATTGTTCTAATCTATTACTGTTTGGCGGCCATATTCAGCCAACTATATCCTATCTATTAATAAACCCTATTTTTTATGGTAGGGTGCCAATAATCTTGAAAACAAACCATTGTTGCATCTTCTATAGAAGGCAAGTCCCAAATTTTAATCACATTTTTAAAATGCAAGGAAAAAATATTCTAACAGTTAATATATATCCTTGTTCATTAAAAGATGAGGTGGCTTATCGAGAATCAATCAGGTTTACATCAAACAAAAATGCAGGTGTTATGAGTAGCTATTACGTCACGCATGATTGGCACTAAATTGTGCTACTTGGCAATTGTTTAACGGTCAGAGGGATAATACCATAAGTACCAAATTTTCTAACCCCTTTTTTATTATTTTTAATTATTCTTATACAGCATTAAAATTCTGTTACTTTGGCTCTATTAAAATTACCACTTGTGATACATTAATAATTAGTAATTAATGATTAATTAAGTTTTCTATATCTTTGAGCCAATTGTAAAGTTATTAAATTATTTAGATAATTTAGATTAATAAAAATTGCTTTCATCTGTTTTGAAAATTGAATCTTTTTAAGAACTGAATACTTTTTTAAGGAAACGATTTTTGGTAAATTAAGTATTTAGAAAATAGCAAATTTATTTCTTTTCATAGAGTACAAATTGTTTTTTCCTGTGTTAAAAACAATTTGTACTTCTTTGAAAACCGTGTGTATGTTTTCTAATCAGAAGATTTTAAATAAAGCTGAGGACAAAATTGAGACACATTTACTTTAACGAATTTATATCAGTAGGGATGTTAATGATTTATTGAATATTATTATTATTTACATTTTCTACTACATTGTTAGATTAATGGAAAATTATTTCAGTTCTGTTATCATATGTTAAGAAAATTAAAAACAGGAAACAAGACTTGAAGAAAGAAACTCCTTTTTCCAAATTTATTTTAAACTTTGTTTTTGGGAATATTATTTTCTAAGTTAGCCATTGTTTGATTTTTTTAACGTAATGAGTGCAGAGATTGCATTATCCCATCGTCTAATTTTGATAATGTATCTAGTCCATAAACATTGTTGGTGAAATGATATTAAGCTATAATCAGCTGTAAAAGGTTTGTTTGATGATTATTTAAAAAATCACTGAGTTTCTTTCCTTTAAATTACTGGGATAAGTGGATGTCATTAAAAACTAAATAACTTTATATATTTTTCTCTAGTTTGTGTATTTAATGTTCTTTCTTTTGATAATATTTCTACAATATTATTTCTGTGTGTAAAATTTTAATGTATTCACTCAGTTCACTTAACTACTTTTACATTAAGAGCACCACTTCATAAAGATTTATTTATTATGAATCATCATGATATGTTGTTATTAAAAAAAGAAAAGCTGCCATTTTGAAGATTACCTGTGTGGCTGACAATTGTGTGATTTTGTATTTTGACCATTGTGATGGACATAGTGTTTAAAAAAAAAAAAAAAAAAAAAAAAAAAAAAAAAAAAACACTTGATCCTTGTATATGTATAAACAGTTTTGAAATACTTAAATTTTGAAATGATTTAATCAATACATTTTGAATAATAAAATATGTACATTTCAAGCAGTTAAACGAGTGAAAATATATTTACTGTTGTTCCTTGGCAAAAACTGGCGGTACATGAACACTGAGCTCGTGTAATTCTTTGACTTTTTATTTTGGATTTGTGTCATGGTGATTTTTGCCTCAAACACAAAGCCAAAATAACAAGTTGAAGAATTGAACAAACTCTGTATCTATGTACACATCGACCTATTTTCACTTAAAAAGTAAAAGGAGCAGCGAATTCTACACTAGAGCCAAACAAAAAAATATGTAATCTCAATAAACTACATTTTAAATTAAACAATGAAATAACATAAAAAAAGGAAATTCATCTTAGCACTACACAAAGGAAATATCCACTTAACCTTACTCAGAAATTTCTGTGCCTTCAGTCAAACAAAATTCCTTAACAGCATCCACAAATTTCCTAAAATTATTTGAACTAGAATCTGTACACTGGCATCATCACATAAATTAAAAAAAATAAGAGTAAGGAATATCATCCGTAGTGCCGGTATCCTCCGATGTTCGATCATATGCATTTCTTTTGTACAAACAGAACACTTATAATGGCTACTAAGTAAACCTTCATTTACACACCAGTCAATTATTGCTTTTGTTCCTTTCGTTCCAGATCATACAGAAATTCAAATTAATCTTACCACATTCAGCCATTTAACCATGTAAACCACAAAATAACCAGCATACTTCCTAACCAACATCCAACACACAAACAAACTTACAAATCTTTTCCCATCATTCAAATTTACTGCAATCATGCAACCAATTACATCATAATAGGGTTTTTATGACATTCAACTACTCAGGTTACCATAAATGAAACAAATACTTAGTGATAATCCAAGGGGTACCCTTAAATATACTCTAACCATTAAATGTATTTAGTTTAGCATGTACACATTTAAATGTTGTAAAGATCATAATTACCTCCATTTTTAAGATTTATCAAACTGTAGAGATAAAAATTTTATGAATATGTATTTGTACATGCTACATGTATATTCATTTTTAATGTGTTTATTTTTTGGTTTGACATATTTTTAAAATTGTCAAATTGGTTGTAAGTAAGAAAAGCTCAAATTATTAAGTAATTCCCTTTAGCTTAAATAAAATTTATATTGGTTTATATATATTATTCATATAGAAAACATTCATTGCATCATTTAGTAAGGATATATAAACAATAGCTACTAAGCAAACTAATTAGCTCTATATTTTGGCCTTTTATTGAGGAGATATTAGCAATAAGAAAGCTTCCTAACCAACATCCTTTATGATTCAAAATGGCTACATTATTAACCTTCCTTTTATGATGCAAAATGGCTACATTTTCTTAGTTGCTAATATTTGTTTTAGTGTTGTTTGTGTTTAAAATTTTAGAGGGTGAATACTATCTTGTTAATGTCTGTGATGCTAATGATCTGATTATATTATTTTTTATCAAAAGGTAATATGATAATTTTCAATGTCCTTTAAAGGTTGGATATGTTATGCTGAAAAAACTCATGGTGATTACATTTTACCATACCTTAGTTCTGTTAAATCCCCTCAGCAAATTATGGGATCACTTGTGAAAGATTATCTCTGTAGCAAACTAATGAAAAGACCAGACCAGGTATGGCAAGTTTATCTTGTATGTTATGTATAGTATATTACATAATTCCTTTTAAACTTTTTCTTTTTTCATAATTTACTTTTTCAGATTTATCACGTGACTGTTATGCCTTGCTTTGACAAAAAACTGGAAGCTTCAAGAAGTGATTTTTATAGTGATACACATCAGATTCGTGATGTTGATTGTGTTCTAACATCAAGTAAAAGTTTTATTTGTCTCAGTTATAATTTGCATGCATTGGATTTGTGTAATTATAAGATTTTAGTTCATTTTTGGTAAATGTGCATTTTTTTATTGTTTCAGTTGAAATTGAAGCTATGTTGACTACAGAAGGTGTCTCATTAAATATGATCGAACCTGAAAACTTGGACTGCTTCATAAGGTTTATTTTTTATGATGCATTATTTTACTGTATAAATTAAGTAAAATTCGATCGGAGATCGATAATGATTTTACATAAAAACTCAATGCATTTCAAGAGAGATTGATATGTGTCACATCCTTCGGGAAAGAATTGTAACACCTACAAGGTTGTTCAATAAGTTCGCGGAGCACCATCTATTCGTCAATATTAGACCTAAAACTTCAACGCCATTTTCATATTTGTTCTTTCTTAAGAACATGTCAAAAGTTTCATTTCGATCTGCTAATTTGTTCATTGTTTAACCACCCTTTATATCTAATGTGTTGTGGCTTTTTTCAGGTATGGATAAAATTGAGCAACGTGCAGTTATCAAATTCTTTGTAAAGAAAGGTTTAAAGGCAATGGAAATTCATACTGAAATGGTGAATGTGTTGGGTGAATCTGTTCCTTCAAAAACAATGGTTTGCAAGTGGGCTAGTTTATTCAAAAGTGATCGTACCAGCCTTGAAGACGATCCGCGAGAGGGACATCCAAAAACTGAATCAACACCAGAAATCATCGGAAAAATACAAGATATGGTATTGGAAGACCGTCGATTGACTGAACGAGATTTAATAGAGGCTTTAGGCATTTCATTGGGCACAGTGAGCAATATTTTGAGTTTTAATTTGGGTTTCAAAAAACTCTGTGCAAAATGGATGCAGCATTCTCTAATGTTGGAGCAAAAACACATTCGGATGCGACTTTGCCAGCAACATTTGGAGCATTTTAAGAAGAATAAAAGCGACTTTATCCATCAATTTATCACAATGGATAAGACTTGGGTCTACCATCATGATTCTGAATCAAAACAGGAGGCTAAGGAGTGGTGTGAACCCGACTCTTCGGCGCCGAAACGAGTTCGTGTGCAAAAAACTAGCCAAGAAGGTGTTAGCATCAGTTCTTCAGGATGCAAAAGGAATTTTGTTTATAGATTACCTTCAAACTGGCAAAACAGTTAATTCGGATTATTATTGTAACCTTTTGAATCAATTAGATGAAAAAATTCGTGAAAGAAGACCCAGATTACAGAAAAGAAAATCATTTTCCACCAAGATAACGCACCTGCGCACACAGCTCAAAAAACCATTGCTAAAATAACTGAATTGAAGTACGAATTGTTGCAATATCCAGCCTATTCGCCAGATTTAGCTCCCTCCGACTTCTGCCTCTTCCCACACCTCAAACAATATCTCCGTGGAAAACGATTTTCTTCAAATGAAGAGGTAATAGCTGCAGTGGAGTGATATTTTGCAGAGCTGCCGAAAAACCCTTACAGTCAAGGCATCCATAAATTAGAAGACTGTTGGAATAAGTGTATTGAAGTTGAGGGAAACTACGTTGAAAAATAAAGTCATTTTTACAAATAAAAATTGGTTTTTTCATTTCCGTTCTGCAAACTTATTGAACAACCTGGTATATGAGGCTAAACCTTATTCTCAAGTAGTTCAGTCCAACTTCTCTCATTCAGGTGTTCCTTAGATGCTATTTTAGTCAGTTTTCATAAATATTTTAACTGCTATCTGAATACAAAGAGACTCAAGTATTCAATTTAATTTAAGTTTATTTTACCTCACTTACTTGTGAGGGTTAAACTAAAAATATTAGAATATAAAGTTACTATTCGCTTGGATCTGGCAACGGACACAAAATCGGCATGTACAAATCTCTCAAATATAATATCTAATTTCTTTCTAATACAGGCTCTAAATCCGAGGATTAATTACTAAACACCTGTTCAAAATCTTAATTTACCAGCCAGATATGACTTAATGTGAATGGCAGTTTACAAAGTGACAAATTGGATGTCAAAGCAGATAGTGTTAATTCAAGCTCTCATCCGATTACGAACTATTCCTCTAACTTTATAATAAATTTCTTGCCACTCAAATCTGCATATCTCTGAAATGAGCGAGCTCGTGAAGAAATGAGGCAATAGGAAAGATGTAAACTAAAAGTTAAGTTAATAAAATTAAATGCAATGCCACACAATTATGGCCAAATATTTTCAGCATTGTCTCAATTTTAAATAAATAAATTTTGTCAAGTTGTGACCTATTAATAAAAAGTAATCTTTTTATGTTTAATTCATATCTTCTCTTAGCTTGTAATACTTAAATGAATCAATAGAATATTATTTGATAATACTCTCTGATTTTAAATCATTATTTTTTTTTTTTTTTTTTTTTTTTTTTTGTGGTCTGTGTATTTGTTTTTGTGGCTTGAAATTTTAAGGATGCTGACATGTTAATTGGAATTATTGGAAGACAGTAAAAGTAACTTACTAGCAATACTAAATGAAAGATTTGTGATCTCTGTCTTTTATTATGATAATAATATTTAAACTTTATTCTAGATTCCATAGCAGAAATAATGTGCTTACATGTCAGCAAAACATTCCTCTGCAAATTTTATTTTCCATTTATTTTTAAGGAAAAGAAGTTGGAAGGAAGCCATTTCATAATCAGATCTTCTGAGATAAATTTAAATTCAAAGCCAAAATTTAATTGTTAATTAGTTAATTAATGAATGTAACAAATAATTTGTGGGATTGTTGGTGGTCTAATGAAGTACATTTAGAAGATTTCTTTTCTGATGCATTTTTATAAAAACATATATCATATATATCTCAATTTCTGATATTAACTGAACAAATGGTATTCATGTATTTTACCTTTGATTGTGAAAGTTGGCCGAAATTATGTTGAATTTGTGCTAATAATTCTGGCAATCTGGAGTGCCTAACATAAAAACTCTTTTTATGTAAGCTTTTGATAACATTTGAAATTTGTCCATCATAAACTGGGCAATTTGCCAATTTTGATGATTAAATATGATGGTAATTTTGAGAAGAAAGTTCTTTAATCTGTACTAAAGAAATCAATTTTTATAGATAGTTTTATATTTCCGATTCATTTTAATACAGAAAAAATTAATCTGTGTTAAAGAGGTGAATCTTTTATAGATTGATATATATATATATATATATTTTACTGTTATTAAACTTTAGTTTTAGTAGATAATAAATATATTCAAAATAAGTATGTTGCATTATCAGAAATATGTATCTAATATCATGTAAATGTGATCTTCATTTTTTCATTCAAATTTAATCGGCTTTCTATTTTCAGTATTTATTGTTGGGAAAGGGAAGACATTAAAAATGCTTAAATTTCTGATTTTTTTCTCCTTAGCAAGGAAACTCCTTTTCCACCAGAACTTTATACACATTTAGGAAGTGCCTCTGGTGGATATTGTGATCACATCTTCATGTATGCTGCCAAAGAACTGTTTGGACAAACATTATCTAAATTGGAATACAAAATTTTGCGGTATGTAAAAGAAAATATGCATTCCCATCTTATGATTTTTCTTTGTGTGTTGTTTAACTTTATCTTACCTTTTGATTCATTGCGTATAAGGTGCACCCATAAAGTAACCAGACAGATAAACAGATTAAATGATAAAATTAAAAAAAAAAAAAAAAAAAGTAAATTACAAAGCACACTGTCTGAATTTTGGGAAATGTAATATCAGGAACATTACATGATCAGGATTACATTACTAGGAGACATGAAAAAGATTCCCCTAAAATTCATGTATTGTGCGGCTTCGTATGGAAAAGTTTGTCACCCATTTTTTTTTCCCACAGAGAAAACTGTCTCAGGAAACTAATATTTTCATATATGCTAAGGCTTTTCCCACAGTTGTAGCAAGATAGTGAAGGTTTAATTTTTCTGCTAGATGGAAATATGTCATGATACTTGGCAGTATGGTAATTTTTGAACGATACACGAGTCATCAGAATTAAAAGACAATGGCAGAAATAAAATGTAACTGGTATTTAATGAAAAACAATTAATAGAAATTTGTACAGAAGCATTAGTTAACATAAATTACAGTGTCTAGCAGTTGATTAATTATAAAATATTGAAATTAAAACCAAATTTATGGAGATTAGAAAAATGAAGTTACCTCTTGTAGGAAAAAAAAAAAAAAATTATCTTGATTTTATAGACTTAGTGTTCATTGATCCAATAAACTTGATCAGCAAATTCTTCTCAGATTTAATTCCAATAAACTTTCAGATTTAATTGCAATAAACTTGATCAGCAAAGTGCTGATCAAGTTTATTGGAATTGTACACCACTATTCTAAAAGTACACCTTTCAGCTCCTGGATCATCCAGGGAAGAATTTGGCATGCTGAAATTTGGTGCCCTAAGACATCCCACATATGCTCAATCAATGGATTGCCCACCTTACACACATGTCTGGTGTGTCAGGTGGGCAATCCATTTGAGTGGGTTTCTTCTGTTTACGAGTATTCTGACACTGTATATGGCCGATGAGGCCAAGCATTGTCATCCATTAGCAAAAACTCTGGGCCAACAGCATCCCTAAAGAGTCTAACTTGGGGTTCCAGAACCTCGTCCACGAACTTCTGAGAGGTTACAAAACCTTCTTGAAAGATATGCAGCTCGGAGGGGCCATTTGTCATGATTCCTTCCCAAACCATTAAACCATGGTCACAGAAATGGGGTATTTAACAGACAAGGGAAGACAAGTTGCATGTTCCATCTTCTCTTCAGATCAAAATATGTCTGGAATCACTGTTTAGGACTATATATGGACTTGTCAGTAAACAATACTCATTTCCAGTTTTCTTGGCTCTATTCAGCATGACAACAGTATCAGTTTAAACAGGCCTCTTTGGAAACTGGAGTAAGTGGAACACAAATTGTTGGTTTTCTTGCATACAGCCCAATCTTGTTAAGCCTTCGTGCAGCAGTAGAATGTCTACTTTGAATTCCTGGGCAGCCTGAAAGTCTAAAACTAAATGTTTTGTAGTTGCTTTACAGTTTCTTCAAGCTGACAACGACAAAAAACAATCTTCTGATGCAGTTGCTGCTCTTGGTCGCCCTTGACCCGGCTGTCTGTTAACTGATCCAGTGCTATAAAGTGGCTTCAAATTCTTGATGTGAGGCTTTGACTGGTATTAAAATCTTGGCCAATCTCCATTTGTGTTTGACCTCCCTTTATTCTACCAATTATTTGCCCCTTTTGATATTTTCTTAAATGATGTCTTTGGACCATATAACTAATGAATACTGATTATTCTCAGAAAAATATTTACTTTAAACAACACTACAGGCCACATTTCCAACATTTGTCCATTGAACACTATATTATGAGACACCGAATTTGCATATTTCCATTGCTAACATATGCAGTTTTATGTTCATTTGTATTTAATGAACATAAATAATTACAGCATTGAGTATTAATTGCAACATAGCATATGTTTTCTCCTTATCCTTGAAATTTGATGGTCAGTGTAAAATTCCTTGACACTGGATTGGGCAAAATGGGCTTTGAGTTTTGATATTTCACTTTGTCATTTTTTTTCTGATTTCTCAGTATATGATTTGTTTTAATGGGAGTTCATCAAAATTGAGTGTACATTCCTCTACTACCAAATGCTTTTGATGATTTGAAGACATATATGATGGCAGCAGTTAATTCTGTGATAGTGGACATGTTACATAATGAAAAAATTCGATTCTCAAGTTGATATGTGCTGTGCAGCCAGAGGAGACCACACTGAAGATCTGTGAACATTTCTTTGAAACCTGAATGTAAATACAATTGTTGTATTATTTTTAAAAATTTGTTGCATGAATTTGAAATCGAATGAAAACTTTAGAGACACTTTCTATGCATAGTATCTTAATACAGAGATCACATCTGAAGTCATTCACTTATTAGATAAGAACTAGCTCTTGTAATAAATTTTGATTTTTTTTCATGTCATATTTATAGTTATAAATGTTTGTATTGTTGTTTTTTTAGTTTTCATCTACATGATTAGCATACTGTCCTTCTAAAGCATAAATCTTTTCTGCTTCCCAGTAATCACTACCATTTCTTAAAAATATCATCACCATATCAAAGCTTTTATTTGTTACTTTGACAGTCAGTGAAAGGCATACATTCTGAAACTGTGGTACTTATATTGTAATTTTAGAAATTAAATTGTTGTTTCTTAAAGATGAACAATATAGTGTGATATATCAGAAAAAATTTCAAAAATAAAACTGTTGTATTAAAAGTGAGCTCAGTTTAAAATGACAGAAAAGAGGTATGTGCCAGTTTTGACACATCTATTGCTATATACATTCATAGCAAAGTTTTTAAAAATAATATTATAAGTTTTACTTTTTTATTTATTACTGGGGTATTTTGCAACCTTGCTGTGTTTAAATTGCAATGTCTTGTTTGTAACTGAATATGAAGGTAGCAAACTTTGCTTACTTTTTATGATTCTGGCAGGTTAATTCTCCAAAATAAAATCATATAGTGAGGGATGTTTCATCATGTATCCATTAACAACAGGAATGCATATTTATACAAAAGTCACGATTTTTCAGTTTTGACTAAAATAATAAGAAAGAACAGATACATTAAAGATATGTATAAGCACACAAGAGAGAGTAATAATAATGAAAAAAGAGGGGAAAAAAGGATAATAGGATATAGTTTTTGGAAGTGGTCAGTGCATGCCTCAACATTGCTAGGATTACTAGAAGAAGTGAGTTACGAAAGAAATTTTTTCAAAATGCTTGATTAATTTACAACAATTATGTGTATAAATTAACTCATAAATGATCTATATGTCTTTTGAAAGACTTCATTTTTTACACTTTTATATACTTTTTTTTCTTTTTTTTCTTTTTTTTAATAGAAACCAGGATTTTAGAGAAATTACTTTAGAAAAAGATGGAGAAGTTATTCTCAGGTTTGCAATAGCAAATGGTTTTCGGAATATTCAAAATATTGTGCAGAAATTAAAAAGAGGAAAGTCTCTGTATCACTTTGTTGAAGTGATGGCATGTCCAGCCGGTATTTGATTTTCTGATTATTTTTTATCTTTGTTATTTGAAATATTATTAAAAAATTAATATTAGATACAGTCTTTCTAATCTGTTTAGAAATTAGAACGTAAGAGTATGTAAATTTAGGAGTATAAAAGAATTTGTATTATGTATGTGATAGAACTGAAGGGAGATATGTTTACTAAAATGACATAATCTATAATCAATAATTTGTTTTTCACTATTTGTTAAATATGTTACTCTTCTGTTATTGGGACCAGATTCAGAATTGTATGTATGAATGGATGTATGTATTCATATATGCTTGTATAATATATGTACGTATGGTTGCATGCGTATGGGTTCATTATGAATTGAATGCACAAGTCCGATGAAAAATAAATAAAATTTATTATTATCACAGCAAATAAAACAAAATGCTTAAATTTCCTCAGATATTTGTGCAATATCCCAATATCTCACAGTAGTCACTTTTTAAACCACTAAAAACGTTCAACAGAACTAATTCAGAATAGAGAAATGTACAGAAAGCTAATCTGATTTCACCTCGAACTCGTTACAGTAAACAACAGCAGTTTTCTAAACAAAACTCATAAAATAACTAACTTACCAACAACTACGAATTGAGAGGTTTTCCTCCTTTTATTTAGAGGTTTGTAAGCTTTTTAAATCACGCACGAGCACATTCTGGTATTTTCTCGAAAAGCAAAAGTGTACAATTACGAGGTATCTGTTTATTAAACGTGCATGCTCCTGTATTTTTCATTTTCCCGGCGTAGCTTTCTCTTAAAATAAGTCGCGTGCAGCATTGCACAGAGAAATGAAACAATTTAATAACAATTCTATTTAAAAATAGCTAATTCAATTCAAAAACTGTAACAGAATATACATATATACATGTATACATACACACACATATACTCACATATATACATACACATGCCATATATGCATACATTTCTGAATTCGATTTCAATAACAGAAGAGTACCCTAAATATTTGAGGTTCTTTTTAAAGATTTGGCTGCCATAAGTTTTCAAACTATTAAAGATGCAATATGGCAAATTCAGATCAGATGTTGAATAGAAGGTCGAGAGGAGAGTTTAAATGCTGAGTTTCAGATTCTGTTTTTCAAAAATCTTAAAGCAGATTTATTATAGCGTAAGAAATTTATGGGGTCAGTTTTTGGCATCTAAAGTGGTTGCCTTTAAATTTCTGTGGTTTTTCTGATATGTAACAAAACTAAGAGATAGTTTAAAATAATTTACAAAAGCATGTTAGTTAGATAACCCTAAAAAGCTTTACTATAATTAACCAAATGACCTTAATTTCAGATTATTTTTGTATTTACTTTAATTTAACCTATTTCATATTCATAATGGTATCAAAATGTATTGTGTGTAATTTCCCTCAAGAAAGATTAATATATTATTCATTAGTGCATTATTTTATTTTTCTCTGTTTTACTTAATATATTTTATTAGAGTTTTTATCACATTACATCAGAGTCAAATTAGATAATTTCCTTTTTCTTTAAATCAGTTAATTTTTATATAAACTGTAAACTGCTTTTTCAGGCATATATTTTGGTTCCTTTCTGTAGTCTTTTAATGTTTTCATTTTTCACTGTACAATAAATTTAAAATTCAAATGAAATTCATCATTCGATTAGTGTTAATTTTATAGGGAAAAAAAATCTGAAAGGTTTCAGATTTTAAATTACGTCCAAAGGGGCGCTTTTTTTAACGTTTTGTGTGTTACCTTTATTTATTAAATATCATGTTTTTTGCACTTAAACCATAAAATTCAGTTCAATAGCAGTGTCGCAAAATAATTTTAAAATAAGCATATCTTTAGTATTTCCGATACACAGTTTCACACTGAAGATAAAAAGGTTCCCCCCCTCATAGAGTGTTGCCATTGCTCGCTTTGAAATCCTTGAGTTTGTTAATCAAAAATTCGTTAAAGTTTTACAAAATATGAAATCAATAATAAAACAAATTCCAAATTTCAAATTTGCTCTTCCACATGCCCCTATTCGTAGGAGGATTACGTCGTTCAAAATTCGATGGCTCTATGTACCATTGTTTTTATCACAGTGCGAGAAATATACATACATTTATGAAGATTTTTCAATATTTAATTTCTTCAAATATAATGCAGAACTCTAACATTTGGTGGCAACAGTTTGAAAAGTGAAACGGACATTTATAGCAATTCAACGCAAAATCGGCAAAGGAAAACAACAGTCCTTTGAGGACAAAGCCCCTTTGGACTAAAAATATACATTTTGAGAATGAAATGGAAAGGGGGTTCCTCTTCTTCAAAGAAAAAATACTTTTTTTCTCCTTTCATGGTAAATACATGTTTTGAAGCCATTCAAAATTACAAATTTGTATAATGTATAATAACTATAATGTCTGTCAGTGCATTAAAGTTACATACATAACTAGATGTAAGTCCTTTCCAAAACAGTTAGCTTTCAACCATTCAGTAGGATAATTGTACACTGTGCAAAATAACGGGGGGCAGTTGTATATCTCTCGTTCTACTGGGCTGATTGACGAAATCCAACTTGCATTTTTCACATCTCGAAAGCGTGTATGTTTAAAAGTACTTTTATTGTTTTACTTCTTTTCATTTGCATCTCATTTTTATTTCAGTTTTTCATATTTTTTCTTGCTTTTTAGTTTTAAGTATTGTTCTGTATGACTGCTATGTTTATTTTTTTAATTAGTTGTAGTTAATAGTTTCCATACATCAGAGAATTGTCTTACATATCTGAATTTTTAAGATTAAATTTGTATGATATAAAAATGAATAGAAGTGTAAAATTGAAAAGGGATTTTTTTTCAGATATGTAAAATGATGAAATGCATTTCTCATGAATTGTTAATGGTTGTATGGAGAGGTTCCAGTAATCCTTGATGATAAGTCAGGATCTTTCTATAGAATCAGCAATAATTATCTTGCTTTATTCTTTTCTTTGTGTTTTAATTGACAATTACAGTGTATTTATTTATAAATTCTAATTAATAATTATCATAATAGTTCATTTTTCCTTTTCAAATTTCACTTCATATTTGCTAGGAGATAATTTTCATTAATATGTTCTCTACATTCTTTATTAAATTAAATATTATCCTTGCAGCAATAGTGCAGGATTTTACTTTTCAGTTCTTTTAAATAAATTGTAAAATTCACTAATTTTAAAGTTCTTGTTTTTCTTTACACATAAATACATATATATATATATAAATATAAATATAAAAATATATATATATATATATATATATATATATATATATATATCTATTTTTTTTTTTTTTTTTAAGGTTGTATAAATGGTGGTGCTCAAATTCGACCTATGGGTGAATCTCCTAAGGAGCTGTTGTTGAAAGTAGAACAGTTATATCATTCTTTGCCTGTAAAAAATCCAGCACAAGATAGTTTACTTAAGGATTTATATGAAGACTGGCTAGGTGGAGAAGACACAGGAAAAGCAAAGCAAATGCTGCACACTCAATATCATGCTGTACAGAAAATGAATAATGCATTACTAATTAAATGGTGAAATAAATGGCAGACTAAATACATTGACTTTTTGTACAACATATGACTGTTATAAAAATGGTATACTATTAGGATTATATAATTTTAATAAAGATTTAAGTTCTATTTAATTATATGTTGAACTGGATAATTTTTATGCATATGTGTTTAAATTGCATTAAAAAGGTCACATACATTTTTAAATGGTATGTTAAAGAATGTATTATTCTTTTAACTTTTAGCAGAAATGAAATGAAACTACACCAATAAAAAGTTCTGCATGTTTAATATACTATGAATAATATAGAAACAAGTACAAATTATTTTAGCATATATTGATTGAGAATAAAATACCAAATTTAAGATATAAAAAAACTTATACTAATCACTTTTCTCTCTAAATAAATGCTTTTTTTATCTGATTTTTTCAAATATATTCTAAGCGTTGTTTAATTCTGATCTTTGCTGGCATTTAGCACAATTAATAATTGTTTTATAGCTATTTACTTTTGACTAAAGAATATGTTATATAGTGTGGAGTGTGGCTATGACAGAATTCTAAAATGATTTATTTTTAGAATGCTCAGACAATGCCACCAGCTGTCACGTGTACAAAGATGGGGTGAAAAAAAGAATACAAAAAAAGTTTAATGTTATCATATTTCATGCTCTGAGAAGTAAACTTATGTGGGAGAAAATTTTTATTATCAGTAGTGCATTATATGCTTCAGGTGACTAATTTACTATTAAGTGGAAGTGAAACATCTCATATTTTAATTCTACTTAACTTAAAGATACCAATAGCTTGATAAAATAAAAATTGACAAGAAAGGGGAAGAAGAATAGAAAACTACACAGAAAAAATCCTGTGCCAAATTACAGAACTTAAGCATTCTTTACATGTAAGAAAACAGTGTCAGATTATGTACATAACTGTATGAACATCTGTATTTATATATTTATGTGATGTAGTTTCATTCAGTTTTTTTCTGATTTCATATCTTGAATTAGTGTTTCATTATTGAAGTTAATATGATAATCAGTATTAGTATATCACTTATAGCCTTTAAGTTAATTAAGATATTTTTGATCTTATTGTCTACTTTTATATACCTTTTCTACTTCTTTCCAGAAAAATTAAAATCTGTATGATCAATTTGATAGTGATTATATATGAATCTTTATGAGCTGAACTTTAGATGAAGTCTTTACATACATTTGTCAAATTTGCGGCTCTGTCTTACCACAGTATTGTTTTTTGTATGCTTCTGATATTGTAATTTCACATTTTCACCGGAATATTTTTGTTATCCAACTACTGCTTGGCAAAGCAGAAAGCAAATTCTTTTAATTTAGATTGCTGTGGGCAACTGTCATGTATTATTAACTATCCTTCATTAATGAGTTACTGAGGAAGATGTGCTAATGCTGTATACATTCTGATACTTAAATATTTTTCCAAGACATATTTATGATGCCAATGAATGTGCTTGTGTAAAAAGGTAAATATTGTGTTTTAATGAAAGTTTCCAGTAACATTCAAGAAGCAGAGCATTCTGCCCGGCCTACTGATGTTGATGAGGTCCACCTGTGAGAATTTGTGGAAGAAGATCAGTATGCCACCACTCGAGAGCTTGCTAAGGAGTTAGATGTTAGTGCCATGTCCATTAGTAGCACTATGCATTGAATAAACTTGATGTACACAAAGCAAAAAAAAAAGGGGGGGAGGACAGTTCTATATCTCCCGTTCTACTGGGCCCATTGACGAAATTGAACTTGCGTTGCGTTTTACATGTCTCGAAAGCATGACTTAGGATATGTATTAAATTTATATATAGCATAATTCTTACATAGGTATTTTGACACAAAAAGGACTTTTTCTGAAATAACATACCAATTTTTTTCCATATTTCAATTCTACGACTCAAATTATGCCAAACTACCAAGCTTTGTAAAAATCACACCAGTAGTTTTGAAAAATTAGCTCTCAAAATTTTAGCTCCTCATTGTTAATTGAATTTGGTATATATTTATTAATCTCTGTTTTTTTTTATTAAACTTATTTGATTATTCCTTTCACATTTCAAAATCTTAAGTTAATAACAAATAAAATTCACCCATTTTTTATGATTTATTTTTAAAATTTGTATTTTTAAATAATTTTTTTAAATTTTTCAAAAAATTTTTTTAATTATAATCTGTAAAATTTTTACCATCATCTTAAATTAGAGGAGCATACCTGCAAAAAATTTCAGTTTTGTATTCAAAATTTTCAAAGGTATACATGAATTTATATATTGGCACATTTTGAAATTTGCCATATTTGTTGAAAGCGATAAAACATCAAATGAGATTTAGGCGCTTCGCTAAAATTAATTGAAAGTAGGAATGATGTGACTTTTTTTCATGTAAAAAGGTGGGAACAAGGTGCCTTTTTTTCCATTCCAGCATAATGGAAGGGAAAGGAAAATTGGTTGCCACATATTAAGAAGTTTGCCAAATGAATTATTCTTGGCGCAAACTGAAAAAATTGGCCCAAGATAAATTTTTGAATTTCTCCATAAATTTCACACCAAATTTTACAAAATTTAATATATAGGCGTTGCATAAGCTGACTCAAGCAGACAAGGACAGATGTGTTTGGGCCTGCACTAATCTGCTCGAATATCAACACAAGGACAAAATTCTGAACCGGATCATCAGTTGTGATGAAAAGTGGATTTACTTCAACAAGACAAGCCAAAACGGGGTTTGTCTGCGCCCGGTGAGTCTGTCAGCAGCGTCGCAAAGAGTAATTTGACTAACACAAAACTCATTCTTTATATCTGGTGGGATTGCCATGGTATTATTCACATAAAAGGCCTCGACCGTAAGGTGTACAACGAGATGTTAATCCGTGTTGATGCTGCTATCAAGAAAAAACGCCGAACTGAGTTCTGGTGCAAAAAGGTAATGTTCCATCAAGATAATGCAAGACCACATGTGTCTGCATTCACCGGCTGGCCTCTATGCGGACTCAAATGGGATTTTTTGCTACACCCAACATGTAGCCCCGACATTGCTTCTGCGGACTTCTACCTTTTTTCACACTGTGCAGCTACATCTTGCTGCTGCTGTCTTCCATTCTGCACAGGACATCCGAAATGAGGTTTATTTGTTCTGCCATCACGTTCCTGAGCCAAAGGCTTTGAAAAACTACCAAAACTTTGTCAGATAATCATAGATTTGGGTGGTGATTACTACCTGCACTAAAAGGACTGCTTAAAGTTTTTTTTTTATGACTTCAGGATGAACGTTTTTTGGCGGAAAACTTTCGTTACAATCAGGTATATCCTTTAGTGATTGTATTGGGAAACAAGCTTCTTATATGGCACTAGTTGCTGTTTGTTGTTTTTCCTTTAAACCCCACCAGCGGCCGAACACCGGTAGTTCTGATCTGGGTTCGATTCCACGGATTAGCTGCATTTAAGTTTTTGGGGTTTTCCCCATATGAAATATGTTTAGGAGCCAGTTTTGCTTAGAAAGCCCGTCATGAACGCATCCCTTCGTCAGGTAAATAGGCCTCTACATCACAACATAGGATAGAGCCACAACTTTATGTTTGTTCACTGAGCTACCAAAATCTGCATGAAAGAAATACAACTAAGAAAACATCTTTTTGAATTTTCTGTTGAAGTAATGTTGCTGTATTCCTGTAATACCTGTGCCCTTTCATTACTGAAGATGAGTACTGGCATTTTTTTTTTTTTTTTTTTGGTACAAAAGAAAGCCAGTGTAAAATAGGTAAGAATAATTAAATCATGAGTGTTATCTGGTTTCAGTGTGATACGTTGAGCTTTCCACCATATTTTACAAAAAGATGATTTGAAATTTTGAGTTGATGGCATGTTGGTTACAAAGCCATAACATCTGTAAGGAGTCCACTGATATCATGATGAAAAGTTTTGGTATCGAGGCATCCTCTTCTCGAAACCATTTATTTGTATTCAAAAACTGAATTTTTAACATCTGTTTCGTCTGTGCCAGACTTACAAATATGTTCTTTAATTTTCGAAACTGCTTCATTTTCAAATCCATCCTTCAATTTTGTTTTCATTATTTCAACAAGTGGTAATTTTACAATATACGTTAACACAAAATTGCCGGTATCGATAGTGTTTCTGGACTGCGCATTTCATTTCGATGTTTCAGTAAGGGGGAAATTTATGTGAATAATCATGTGAATAGTCATAGGCTGATGATTGTTACTTCCTTATACGATATAAAGAGAATATTGTAATTGTAAAAAAAATTCGGGTATAATATTTCAACGGAAATATCCCTTTTGACAATTTCCGAATCCAACTGAACGGAAATATCCATTTTGACCATTCCCGATTCATTTTGTATAAATTTTAAAAAAAGTGCTGGGAAACTGAAAATACACAAGGTATAATAAGAAAAAAATCATATGAATAGTCGTAGGCTGATGATTGTTACTTCCTTATACGATATAAAAAGAATATTGTAATTGTAAAAAAATTCGAGTATAATATTTCAACGGAAATATCCATTTTGACCATTCCCGAATCCATTTGGACGATTCTTTTGCTTGACATTTTTACATACGAACAGAATAGAGGAGTGTTTTTTTTTCCCAAATGGATTCAAAACGGATTTCTTCGTGACGTCTATGCGTACGTACGTACGTTTGTAAGTATCTCACATAACTCATTAAACGACTAAATGTAGAACGCTGAAATGTTGTGTATGAGACTGCTATAACATCTACTTGTTCACCTCTTTATTTATTATTATTTTTTTTTTTATTGCAGTGTCGACCGCGAAGTCTAACTACATGCATAATAGCAGTTTATATCTGGAGTTAGTCTAACAATAAATACCTATTAATATTTAATGTTAGTTTATTTTTGTTCTAAAAAGAATATATAATAGACCGTACAAGGAAGTTATGTGGTGTTCACATCAATCTATTTTTTTTTTTTTTTTTTTTTTTTTTTTTTAAACGGCTGTGCGGAAATGCCACCTGATGTTCCTGGTTTGTTGCAAATATGTTAGAAAATTTCATGTGCTTTTTCCTGCTACATGCGGAAATGACACATCATAAATAGAGAGATTCATTTTACTGGGGTAAAG